TTTAATTACAGTCCTTAAAACCCATAGAGCACTTCATATTGCTGAATTGCTATATGGCTATTGAGTATCCCTTTAAAATTCCCATTTATAGAAGTGCCAATTTCATTATGAAATTAGCACTTTTATATTTCAAAATAGAAATGTCTGTGTGACAACTGGGGAGATTCACGTCCTACTTCCGTTAGCTCCACTGTGCCAACGTAAGTAGCAGGCGCATTCTAATAGAGCGAGCCTGTCTTTGAAACTTGCCCAAATAATGGCACGGAGTTGCAATCGCCGTATGGCCAGCAGGAGGGAAGTCACTCCTGCCTGTCACTTCTTGTAGCCTTTATTCCCTCCTTCAATCCTGTGCCTGCTGACCTTCTGGTTTAAAAAAAGCTGTCCTAGCTGCGGACTGCGGGTAGAGGATCTTCTGTATCCTCTACCTAGACTGAAAGGAAGAACTCTCAGTGAGCACTTCTCGTCAGACCAGGTACAGCAAACTGAAAATCCTCTTCTCGTAATCCTGGGCTCGGCCATAATACAAGGTTAGCAGACACAGGAGGTAATAAGGGGAGGAAAGAGACGTGGAGGGGCTGGGGGGAAATGAGACACATGAAGGGGCTGGAGGGAATCATGAGACACGCTATATGCATGCATGTATTCGCGGGTATATCTACTAAGCTGTTTTTTGCTTGTTTTTTCAAGTGTGGAGTGGTCCTTTAAGTTTGTGTTTGTGGCACACTTGGCTTGAGGTACAGTACATCCGATCATATTGGCTGAAAACCACTGGATTACAGTGCAAGGAGGTTCGTGGTCTCAAAAATCAATGCATTTGTAAAATTCAACGTTCAAAGGGATGCTATATTTCAATACAAGTACTTGCACTATCATGTTTAGTTGACAACCGAACTATCACCAGCCTAACCATCTGCTGTGCTGGAATGTATGGGATAAGCCCATCACTTCCATGATGTATTCAAGCATCATTATAGTTTTGGGCAGAGTTCATTGTTTGACGGGGTTTATTATAAAAACTGCTAGTCTGATAAAGCAAATGTAGACACATTTTTTTTAATTAATTGAACACATCTATAATGCATGTACAAACATGTATTCCTAACACTATAGTGCTGGAATACATGTTTAGCTCCCTGATACCCCTCTCTGTGTTAAAAGGTATTAAACTTACCTATTCTCCACCGCACTGGTCTCACTGTGGCTGAGATCATCAATCTTTATGCTGTGCTGTGCCAGTTTGCCTCTCCTCATAGATATGCATTCAATGAATGCATCTCTATAGGGAGCGTTCAGCGTCTCCGTGAACGTAGGTATCGCACACTCTGCAGCACTGGACTAGGAAGCACCTCTAGTGGCCCTCTTAGTGATTGCCACTAGAGGTGTAACTAGCCAGTAATGTAAACACCACCTTTTCTATGAAGAGGTAGCGTTTACAGTGCTAACTATGCAGTGACATTAAGCTGTAGTGGTTCTGTGACTCAACTGGCCCTTTAACCCCTTAAGGTCCAAACTTCTGGAATAAAAGGGAATGACATGTCACACATATCATGTGTCCTTAAGGGGTTAAAGGGACTGTATGGGCACATAACTTTATTACAATGAAGTTGTTATGGTGCACATAGATCCCTGGTGCTTTCTTACTTGAATGCTTTAACTTCAAAGGTTGCGCCAAGGGTTTCTTAAAAGCCACTCAATTTAGGGAGATGGAACCACAGGAACATCCTAGGGGCTATAAAAATGCTTATGGCAACCAGGAGCTCTTTTGGAGTTTTGAATCCCTGGAATTGTAATTTCTTAATAGTTGTGTCTATAGAGACAAGTCATTCACTGGAACTTTGCTGATTTTAGGTGAACCCAGCACATTTTTTTTTTTTTTTAATCACTGAAACCAGTTGTGTATGTTCTGATATGGTTTTGGGGTTGAATGGCACCAAATATTTCTGATGCATGCACATTTTTATGAATGTGTAAATCAGTCCTGCAGTTGAAAGCGGTACCTTGATAGACTGCAGCACTAAAATAAAAGGACAACTGTTTCCTGAACAGTAGTTTTTAATATAATAACCCTTTCATCAAGGAAAGAGATTTTTTTTATTTTTTTATAAAAGAAGTAAAAAAATATAAAACTCATCCTGTATGTAGTATACGGCCAGATCCTTCAGCCAAATAAATAGACCTTGGGTCAGACAGGGTTTGAAAATGGACAGTCTCTATGGTCTTCCCTGCACAGAATCAGACCGACTGTCATATTTAAACACTGTCTGACTAAAGGTGTACACTGATCAGCCACTTCATTAAAACCACTGACAGGTGAAGTGAATAAAATTATTATTATTTTCATTTATATAGCAATGACTACAGTACACATCAGCCCCAATATAGAGTAAAAACCAAAGAAAAACAAGTTACCTGCGCTCTCTCCTTAATCCCTATGTATTTTTAAACAAATGGAGGTATTTTAGTTACCTCCATTGGCCATGAGAGGATAAGCCCACCTGCCAACGTCAAGGCAGACCCCCCCCTTCTGGCAAAGATCTCTAATGAAACAGAAAGAGGTATTTTTTATATACACCCCTATATATTATTAACCCTTAATAGGGAACACATGGGATGGGCAGCTGCATTGTAAAAAGGCTGAGTGATACAAAAAATGAAAATGGGTACAAATGCAGAAAAGATAAGTCCTGCGCTCACTCCCATCACTGGGCGGCAGCAATGACTGCAGTATACATCAGCCCCAATATACAGTAAAAATCATTTATATAGCGCAAACAGATTTTGTAGTGCTTTACAATATTATAAGAGAGGGGATTTAGCTATAAATAGGACAATTACAAGAAAACATACAGTAACAATAGGTTGAAGAGGGCCCTGCTCATATGATATTACAGTCTATAGGAGGTGGGGTGTAAAACACAATAGGGCAGGGAATAGCAATCAAAATAGGTGGGAGTAAAGCAGAGCTGGAGGAGTGCTGCCCTTTAGGATAGAGCAAGAGACAGGTATGTGAGGTAGAGGTTACTCTACATCAAGCATTTCAAGCTCAGAGGATAGCAAGGGCGAAATAAACAAAGGTTTAAGTTTATGAGGGCCGCAAAAAAAAAATGTAAATTTTCAAAGAAACGTAGGTTTATTTTGAAAAGTACAGTATTAAAATAACAAAACAGTGACCCCCTCTACTAAACCCCAGTCCCGCCCTTAGTCTACTTAATCGTTGTCCCCTGTTGTATACTTAACCCCTGCCCTTACACTCACTGAGACACATTCACTGCCAGACATACACACAGAATCACTCCAAAACACACATGCACTGACAGACACACACTAACTGACAAACAGGCTCCCTCACAGCCATGCACACACACACAGAAATACACACACACTTCCCCCACAACACTTTTTATTATTTTAATTTAAATCCACCCAGCCTCCCTACATTTGGGAGAGCTGAGTGGATTTCTTACCAGGTGTCTAGTGGGGCTGCTGGGCAGGTGTACATTCTGGCAGCAAGGGAGCATTGTTTTTGAGCTCTCCATGTTCAGCTCCCCTGCCGCGTTGCAGAGTGATGCCGGGAGCCGAGTGACGTCATATTCCAGCTCCCGACATCACTGCGGGCACAGGGAGAGCTTACACTCAGCGCAAACATATTAGTTGTGGGCCGCATGTGGCCAGCGAGTTTGACATCTATGCTTTACATTGTTACAACATTGATTATATTGTTACAATGGCACCTGTCAAGGGGTCAGGTGGAGGAGCGCATGGTGCACTCCATATTAAACCAGCCCTGTGTGGTTTCATCAGCAGGTGCTCAGACTTCCTTACTGAGCAGAACGAGTGATTAACACAGTCAGCCCAATCAGGGAATTGTTACGAAGACCACTGGACCATCACGGATTTATTAACGCCAGTGGACCACTAGGGAAATATAATTTAAAGGAACACTATAGTCACCTAATGTGCGAAGGATGGAATACTATAAGCGCCGGGATAACATGTTACTGAACTACGATTCCCATGATTCTGTGAATGCCTCAGATAGCCAGAGAATTATGGGAGTTGGAGTTCAGAAACATCTGGAGAACCGTAGATTGGGGCAGGCCAGCCTTGGCACTCCAGATGTTGGACTACATCTCCCCTGACTCCTTGCCAGCATTATGACTGTAAAGCATCACGGGAGATGTAGTCCTACCCCTCCCCCCTACTCTAGGGCTTTATAAGCTTTTATTCGGAGCACGTGCCTGACCAGTAAACTCCGCGGCGTATGACGTCACCTGCGCGCCGCAGTCCGGTAGCTGGAGCACTCGCACCCTCCCGCGCGTCCTCAGGTAGCCAAACACTTCAGGGCACGTGACGCCTCGGGCCACGCCCACAGCGCCGAGCTGACTCGCTTAGCGCGCACGCCCACAGTATTAACCCCTCCCCCCCAGCAGTAAGCAGACCAGTCAGAATGACAACGCAAACCTACATACTTCACGTGAGGTCAGAGCTCTCCCTGTACTGATCCCATGATGCTCAGTGTCTGCCGAAGCGGCCATTGGCTGGAGCCTACAGGGGGCGGGACTTACATCAATGACGGGTGGTCCCATGAGCATGCTGTACAGGCGGCTATTGGTTGGAGCCTGCAGGGGGCGGGACTTACTAAATATGCTGTACGGGCGGCTATTGGTTGGAGCCTGCAGGGGGCGGGACCTACTGTATGCTGTACGGGCGGCTATTAGTTGGAGCCTTCAGGGGGCGGTGCAATGTTTGACAGGCGGTCCTGGGAGCATGCTGCTAGGGCGGCCATTGGTTAGAGCCTCCTGTGGGCGGGGCAATGTGTGAGTGAGCGGTGTTCCCGGGTACATACTACACAGACGACCATTGGTCAGAGCCTCTGGTGGGCGGAGCAGTGTCTGAGTGACGGTTGGTACTGGAGCATGCTGCGAGGCGACCATTGGTCAGAGCCTCCGGTGGGCGGGGCGATGTCTTAGTGAGGGGTAGTGCTGCAGAGGCGGCCATTGGTCAGAGCCTTCAGTGGGCGGGGCGATGTATTAGTGAGGGATAGTGCTGCATAGGCGGCCATTGGTCAGAGCCTCCGGTGGGCGGGGTTACCATCTGACAGGCGATGCTGTGGGAGCCGCCCAGTGCCGACCGGCAAACATCCCGAATGAGCTGTGAGCCGGAGAGAGAGCTGGACCGGCATCGTCACCATGTGGGTGTTCGGGTACGGCTCGCTCATCTGGAAGGTGGATTTCCCCTACGAGGAGAAACTGGTGGGATACATCACGTGTTACAGCCGCAGGTTCTGGCAGGGCAGCACCGACCACCGGGGGGTCCCGGGAAAGGTGAGACCCAGAGACAGACATTATATATATACACAGCATGGACCACCGGGGGGTCCCGGGAAAGGTGAGACCCAGAGACAGACATTATATATATATACACAGCATGGACCACCGGGGGGTCCCGGGAAAGGTGAGACCCAGAGACAGACACTATATATATACACAGCATGGACCACCGGGGGGTCCCGGGAAAGGTGAGACCCAGAGACAGACACTATATATATATATATATACACAGCATGGACCACCGGGGGGTCCCGGGAAAGGTGAGACCCAGAGACAGACATATTATATATATACACAGCATGGACCACCGGGGGGTCCCGGGAAAGGTGAGACCCAGAGACAGACATTATATATATATATATACACAGCATGGACCACCGGGGGGTCCCGGGAAAGGTGAGACCCAGAGACAGACATATTATATATATACACAGCATGGACCACCGGGGGGTCCCGGGAAAGGTGAGACCCAGAGACAGACATTATATATATATACACAGCATGGACCACCGGGGGGTCCCGGGAAAGGTGAGACCCAGAGACAGGGTCCCGGGAAAGGTGAGACCCAGAGACAGACATATATATATATACACAGCATGGACCACCGGGGGGTCCGGGAAAGGTGAGACCCAGAGACAGACATAATATATATACACAGCATGGACCACCGGGGGGTCCCGGGAAAGGTGAGACCCAGAGACAGACATTATATATATATATACACAGCATGGACCACCGGGGGGTCCCGGGAAAGGTGAGACCCAGAGACAGACATTATATATATATATACACAGCATGGACCCACCGGGAGTCCCGGAAAGGTGAGACCCAGAGACAGACATTATATATATACACAGCATGGACCACCGGGGTCCCGGAAAGGTCCCGAGACCCAGAGACAGACACACACCATACATATATATATATATATATATATATATATATATATATATATATATATATATATATATATATATATATATATATATATATATATATATATACAGAGACAGACAGACACACACACCATATATATATATATATATACAGAGACAGACACCTACACTATATATATATATATATATATATATATATATATATATATATATATTCTGTCTCTGTGTATATATATGGTGTAGGTGTCTGTCTCTGTATGTATGTATATATATATATATATGTGGATAGTTAATACAATGCTAAACAAAAATCGGGAAAGCAGTGCAACCCAGCAGACACACAATTTTAATATGCAAAATAGGATAATGCACACCACTCATGGACAGCTGTTTCGTTGTTAATGCAACTCTTCAGCATGAGGTTGGTTACTGGTTTGCTTATGGAGGCTTGGTAGTGCTTGGGAAGCAAGATCCAAATAGATTATGGTGGGGAAAAATTGTGATTGAAAACCCCTTCCACCTGAAGTATGTGGATAGTTAATACAATGCTAAACAAAAATCTGCACACCAGTCAAGCCATAAGACTTGCTTTTCCCACAGAAATCCCAAATCAGCAGTGATGTTACAACCGCAAAGGATTCTGGGTGGGCATATGCAAATTAGTTTAACAAAGAATCACATTTTTGCCTCATTCCATTTTAAACATGGATTCCTTTTAATTTGTGTTTGCAGTATACAACTGCTTGGAACACAATTTAGGATATATATATGTGTATATATATGGTGTAGGTGTCTGTCTCTGTGTGTGTATATATATATATATAGAGAGGATAAAGAGATGCACTCTCAGGACTTGAAAAAATAGTTAATTTATTCCAGCAGGTATAACATCAAAGTTTGCCGACGTTTCGACCCATTCGGGTCTTTCTCAAGGTCAATGTACCTGTGCTTACAAGCCATTTATATAGGACATAAAAAGAAGTACTCACCAATCTGTGAAGAACCCCCTGAATCCCTCCGTGCACACCCGGAAGTGAAACCGGAAATAAAACCCGCGATCACATGATCCATGCATAATTGATCATGTGGTGTTGCTAAGATACCGATAGGAAAACAATTAATTATAAGATCGGTAAATATCTCATAGATGTGCAAGTGAAATGTCTAATATCAATCTATTAATGAAATCTGATTAAAGTGCAGAGTGCATAAATCCGCAAAAATGCAGCCTAATATAAAAAAGTGAGCAAAGATCATAAGATCAAATATACTGTGTAAAGTGTCACCATATATCTAAAGAAGTGATCAAAAAAATAAAGAATGTTATGTTAAAAACATTTCACCAACCATGTCAAGATTAGAAGGCATTTAGCTGAAGCAATCTATAACATCAGAAAACTAGCAGGCTAAAAAAGGGAAAAAAAGCCATTAGAATAAAGGCTCCAAAAAACCAATAAGGATCGCAAATATACTTAGAGAAAAAGGAAACCATATGATTATTCAAAGAACATTATTATTAAAGAAACATAGAGAGCACAATGTTTTCGTTGAGTCCTTTTGGTGTCACTGTGTCCAGCCGATGGATCCATTGTGCCTCACGTTGAAGTAGTTTCTTTGATCTGTCACCCCCTCTGGACATTGGGGGGACATGATCAATAGCCGTGAAACGTAACAGAGGAAGTCTATGTTGCATATGTAGGAAATGTTTAGCGACTGGCTTATCGCTATATTGATCTCTAAATGCTGTTGTTATGGTCGACCGATGTCCCCTTATGCGGTCTCTCAACGTCAAGTCGGTTTTGCCAACGTACGAAAGTCCGCAGGGACATGTGATCATGTATATCACATGGTCAGTGGTACAAGTGATTATATATAATACACAGAGACAGACACACACACACCATATATACACAGAGACAGACACACACACTATATATATATATATATATATATATATATATATATATATATATATATATATATATATATATATATATATATATATATACATACACACATACACACACGTTGAAGATAGGAGTGATCCCAGGGGCACCTGACCAGCAGTCTGCTCGGGTCAAACAATTGACCCTGAGACAGACATTATATATAATATATACACAGCATGGACGACCGGGGGTCCCGGGAAAGGTGAGAGACAGAGACAGACTATATATATATATATATACACAGCATGGACCACCGGGGGGTCCCGGGAAAGGTGAGACCCAGAGACAGACACACACTGTGTGTATATATATACACAGAGACACACACACCATATATATATATATATATATGCACAGAGACAGACACACACCACATATATACACAGACAGACACACACTATATATATATATATATATATATACACATACACATACACATACACAGAGACAGACACACACACACACTATATATATATACATACACACACACACACACAGAGACAGACAGGTTGAAGATAGGAGTGATCCCAGGGGCACCTGACCAGCAGTCTGCTCGGGTCAAACAATTGACCCTGATGATGTCATAGACGTGCGCCTCCCGGGGTTGTTCCCATAGCAACCCAGTATAACCAACAAAATAATACATATACATATAACTAAAAACATAGCCTGCATAAATTATAAATGTTGAAGAAAGACCTATACACCCCATCAGGGACCATTTAGATACAGAGAAAATCCATGGAGAACACGTTAGAGATAGACAGCAGGCAGAACTAATCGAAAAGCGATCAAACTGCAATTAGCCTGTAGCAACCTATTAACAAGATATAAATACACAAACGGTACCACCTAAGGAATAGATAATGCATAAAGAAAACATGTAACTTATGCTACAAATACAAAATAAAATGCAGGCATGAGCAATCAAACCAGCAAAGATTCCAATCTAACTACAGGGAGCAAAGTACCAACAAATAGCAATTGAAAGCATAATTGTACCAAGAGTAATGTATCACTTTGAATCCTTAGAGAGCATTATACAGGTAAAAAGAGTAGTAAAGGATATATGTCAGAACTTCTTAGTCAAAAAAAGGGAGAAAACATGAAAAGACGATGCCAGATAAAGGGTGATTAAATATCCACCAACTAAACCTATGGGGAAAAGATCGTTATGCACAATAACAAGAAGATACAAGTATAGCCACTAAGTAGAGCTGCAGTGATCTCAAGAGAAGAGGGTACCAAGAATGACTGGTGTACTCCCAGTCTAGTCCAACATGAACACATAAATAAATACATATATAACTCAAACATTCAAGCAGCAGAGCAAAGAACCAATGCATCCCTGAATCTATATAGACCGGCATACATCACATAATATATACAGAATACAAAATAATACAGGCGAGGGACATAACGCAAAGGTCCTCAACAAAATCACATTGTTATAGACATATATAGTAATAAACCTATTAGCACTGGGTGGAATGGGTAATTGAGACGCCTATCCCCCAGGGTGGGCTGTCTCTTAACCCTAAACCCGTCCGCCATCAGACAGATAACATGAATCATCCTAAAGAATTTTATATTTTTTTTTAGTAAGGAGCACAAAATGCATTAGAGTCATAGGCTGAAATTAAGAATGGCTGAAGTGCCTATCCCCCAGGGTGGGCTACCTCCAAGCCCTTAATAGTCGCCAACAACTTGCTAAATAAGTGAATAGCAAAGCGGTATAATGGGAAGGATATTAGAGATGCCTATGCCCCTGGGTGGGCTTTCTCGTTCCCCTATCAACCAAACCACGATACCAATATTTACAAAAATACTGCCAATGAGTATTTTTCATTCAAACCAAATGGCTGAACGGTGTGTAGAGTCCTAATCCAGTAAAGTTCACGCTGCAATAACAGCTTACTGCGGTCTCCACCTCTGCGCAAAGGATGAACATGGTCTATGGCCATCAGTTTCAGGGTGGGCAACGAGTGTCCCTTCTCAAGAAAATGTTTTGCCACGGGTTGCCCAGATTTGTTGTCCGTATACTGGATCTGTGGTTACGGACTCGTTCACGTAAGGGTAAATCTGTTTTGCCCACATGGGCAAGTAAGTTTGTATATTACAAAATCCGATGTACATGTTAAGCGGTGTAGGGTTTCCCAGAATGAGGGTGTGTGGATGTTTTACCTGACAGCATATGTTCACAGGTCACACAACCTAAGCAACGGTAGCATCCATAATTAATCTTGCTAGATGGAGGTTGATAGCAATGAATGGAGTCAGTGCATACCAGGAGATCCCTTAGATTTTTATTTCTTTTGTAGCATGTCATGGGGGGATTTTTGAACTCGGCTGGTAATGACGGGTTGTTGGTTAAAACAATCCAATTCTACTTAATAGTGTTATTAAACTCCATCGATGCCGAGGTGTACGTAGTCGGGAATACTGTACGAGGGGCATGTGTTATTTCTTTAACAGCCAAATCTTCACTTTGGTATTTCAGTAACGCACGTTGAAGCGTGCTATCCTTATACCCTCTCATCTTGAACTTGTGCCATATAGCTGAAATTTGAATATGTGCCTTCTTAAGATCAGAATTATTTCGAAAAACTCTCAAAAATTGGGAGTATGGTAGGGATTCCTTTTAAGGCAGACGGGTGAAAACTGGTTGCATGCAGCAATGTGTTGCAGTCTGTTGTTTTTGTAAACAATGGATGTGCCAATTTGTCCCCTTCACGGTAAACTCGGACATCCAGAAAATCGACCTGATCGGTACTGATTGCTGAAGTCAGCTCAATGTTAGACGCTCTATTGATGGACCGAATCATTTGTTCTACAGCTGTAGTACTGCCCTTAACAATCATAAAGATGTCATCGATGTAGTGTGTGTATGCTACAATCTGTTCTTTAAAGGGCTGTAGAATATGTAAGCTCTCAAACTGATGCATGTATCCATTTGCATACATGGGTGCCATCGCCGCACCCATGGAAGTACCTGCAATCTGGCAGTACCATGTAGTTTCAAACCTAAAGTAGTTCTGAGACAGGACTATCTCCGAGTTCCAGTACAAACTCCACAGGTGGTCCAGTATAGTAGGGAGACTGAGATAGAAGTGCTCTCATAGCTTATATACTGTCTTGGTGTGGAATTACGGTATATAAGCTCCTTACATCACATGTTACCAACACTACAGGTACTGTCGGAAGTGTTAGAGTGGTTAGAAGACTGAGGAAGGTAGGAGTGTCTTTCAGGACTGTATCTAGGTTCTCAATAGTGTCTTTGAAGAGGAAATCCAGCCATTTTGCAACAGGCTCAAGAATCCCCCCAATGGCTGAAACAATTTTGCGGCCTGGTGGTCTGGTACTATCCTTGTGAATTTTGGGGAGAGTGTACATGATCGGTGTCTTTGGTTTATCTTGGAGTAAATATTGATATAGGTGCATATCAATGTAATTACTTCTGAGGCCCCTCTGGAAGGCATCCATGATTTGCTGGTGAACATTCCCAGTGGGATCACCAGGTAATGACAGATAGGTATTGGTATCCGACAACTGCTGGAGGATTTCTGACTGATAGTGTGAATAGTTCTGCAGGACTATTCCTCCCCCTTTGTCTGCTGGTCCTATAACAATGTTATTGTCTGTTGAGAGAGCTTTGATGATGTCTTTTTTGGAGCAGTTGGAGTGATGACAATGTTTCTCCTGAAGAAAATCGGAAGATTCTTTTTGTACCACACGTAAAAGGGCCTTGATCCCAGGTTGATTATGAAGTGGGTCAAATGTACTCTTTTTTTTTTTTCTTAAAGATAGGGCTTGTCAGTGGAGTCTCACACATTGATTCCTTAAAGAAATCTTTCAGGCGCAGTGTTCTGCCAAACTTATAAAGTTCCACCTCCCACTTCAATGGATCTGGCCGTGTAGTGGGGACAAATGACAGTCCTTTAGACAGCAACAGGAGTTCGTCAGGGAGGAGGGTTCTAGATGATAAATTGAAGACTGGAATTATCTTCTCATCCAAGGTGGCATTTCTCTTGCCCCACCATGTGCGTCCCCTCTGTCCTCGTCTTGTGATGTACCTGTGTCTGTGTTGCCTGCTCTGCTCTGGTACCTCGTAATTATCCCCTGACGTTCTGTTGGACGGGACTCTAAAAAAGCTACCCTTGTATCTTGGTTAGGCTTACGTTGAATGGATGGATTAGCAGTATCTGATTCGGAGTTGGATTCGTCTGAGGATTTGTCAATGGTAAATTGTCTGGGTTTGCGGACCGGTCTCCGGCGTCTCGCAAACCTCGGGTTATCACTATGGCCACTAAGCCACCTATACACCCGATGTTCCTTGTAGTCAGCTGAGACAACAGCTTGTTTCTCTCTCTTAAACCTGATTAGATCTGTCTTGTAGGTTTTAACATTATCCTCCAATTTCAATAGAGTGGTCGCTGCCTCTGTGGAGGATAGGATAAGTGCTTCCTGTGTTTGTAATTCCGCTATTTTACATCTTACTTGTGTCAATTCTTCCTTTACATCTTCAATGATAATTAACATAAGATCGAGGGAACATCTATTCAAAACCCAGATCCATTTTTTGCATGTCAAAGGTTTAAGTCTACCTATAGTAGGGACATTACTGACTCGAAACCCCCTAGGTATTTGAAGTTTCCGATAATAATCCGAGAGAAAAAGACCATGAAGGTCCAGATCCGTCTCTTGCTTTCTTAAATGCAAAAGTTGGAAATAAATATCCTTCAAGGAGGTAGTATTAGGGAGATCAGTAGTAGAGGAAGTCCAACGAGTCCTCTCAGCATCTCCTTCACTATATTGGAGGATCTCTGCTTGTTCAGATAGCCCCCCGGCCAGGGTGAAAAAGTTTTCCATAAAAACAAGTAAGTATGATACTAGATGAAGGTATGGTACTCCGATGAAAACAGGTTATTGCAGCAGAAGTGCAAGCCAATATATATATGGGAGTCTAGCCAACTCCTTGGTTTTGCACCCCTCCCTGTCAGAGGTGCCTCATTCCAGGGCCCTATTTAGCCTTGTACTGCAGAGAGCCCCAGATGGAATTTTTTTCCCCAAGTAAGTGGGTTAATCTCATAAGAGCAGACATTAGGCTTTTAGTGTAGGACCTGCCAAAGATGGGGTACATTGACGTTGTGGCAGGCTTATGCAATGTATGATCATATAATGTAACTAAACCCCCATTATTTTTTCCTAGATTAGGTTTTAAAAAAAAAAATAAAATAAAAAAAATCTTTCAACATTGAAGTTGCTGTTTAGTGGATAGGTGAGTGTGCTGGATCTTGTGATACACACACACACACACCACACCCCCCGGGGGGTCCTGGGAAAGGTGAGACCCAGACAGACAAAATAAATATATATAGTGTGTGTAAGGGGCAATTTAGCAGTATGTGGAGTAGGTTCAAGTGAGAACGTAAGATAGAATAATCGAGCAAAGTCGGTTGTGGTGTGCTGATACCGACGATACGGTAGGCTCTGAAAATAAAGAGGGCAAAAATTGAATAACCGAAGATTTAATACAGTCAACAATTATATACAATTATCCAGACATTTCTTTAAAAGCATTTCTTAATTCTTGTGTAGGTTTTGGTATGTAGGTTGTGTAAGCGGATGACTTCCACCGCCCTAATGATTTAATGATATGCACCGGTATGTTTGCGCTGGAAGCTGTGGAAGCCGCCCCTATACGGAAGGAGTGAGCTGAGTAGAGTGAAGGGTTAAGACTTAGCATGGTTAACAGAGATCTGATGTATCGCATGAAAGTCATAGTAGTGAGTACAGAGCCTTTGAGTGAAAATAGGTGTAGCAATGGTGTTGATGGGGTAAGTGAAAGGTAGGAATCCAGCGCTGCTACTGGACACCATTTGTTGTGTGTAGGAAAATAAGTGATCTCTACAGGAGGTCCGTGTTGGCTTGTTTTTGACTGAGGTAGAGACAGTATGTAGTGATCCATGTGTTTGCGTAGGTGTGTGCGTAGAAGACATCTGTCTTTTTGAGTGGTGGTGATAGTAGTGAATTCCCTTGGCCTGAGGAACCCGTAGAATGCTATGTACATGGCAGCTTTGATGACTGTGTTGGTAGTAGAGTGGAAAGGTTTGGAGTCTAATAGGTCGGATAATGACTGGAAAAGTGTGTTATCTATAGGTAATCTCTGTGGAAGAAGTGGAGGAATGGATTTCTGAATACCTCTAAGTATATTCTTTACCTAATAAGATGATGTGAAACTATGTGTATTGAGTTGTAGAGTTAGCATATGATGTTGAATGCCTGTCAGATATAATTTGATTGTGTTGTAAGATAAGTGTAATGTAAGGTGGCAAAAAGAAGCGAAGGCTATAATAGATGTCATGACGAAAGGATGAGTTATATCGTGGTCTGATAGGAATCTTGTGAAAAGTGTGAAGGTTCTGTTGTATGTTTTGGGAGTGTTGGATGATAGTGCTAGTTTGGACAGAACCCTACTATGTTGCATGATTAGTTCTACTCCATGGTTAGCTGCTGGAACGGAGGGGCGGCTGTGGCTGTAAGTGCTGCTGACGGGAGTGCTTGCTGAAAGTTGAAACAAGACAGACTGTCATCTGCTATGTTAGTAAAGCCTGGTATATAAAAGCAGACCAAGTCAAAATTGTGACCTGCTGCTAACCACGTGAGCTTCCTGAGAAATCTCATATTTGTTAGGGATGATGAACGGCTTTTGTTAATGATGTGACATGTTGCTTGGTTGTCTGTGTGGCAACGGACTGACAAGCCTGACCATAAATGTCCCCACGCCACGGCAGCTGCTACAATGGGATAAATCTCAAAAAGAGCTGAGGTTGTAAAAAAGCCTTCTAAGTCATAGACTTCTTCAGGCCACTTACCTCAAAGCCATTTGTTCCCAAAGATTGCTGTGAAACCTGTGGTAGACGCCGCGTCTGACCATATTGTTGGAGACTTGTCAGTCAACTCTGGTAGGAACATGCTTTTACCATTCCAGGTGGTCAAGAATTCTTTCCACATATATAGGTCTGCCGTGGCATGAGCATCCAAGGATAGTCTATAGTTGTCGTGTTTGAAATGTGGAAAAAGACAGAGAAGTCTGGATATGAAAGCCCGCCCTTGAGGAATGATGCGCATGGCAAAGTTCAAAGAACCTATGAGGGATTGGAGTTCCTTGCGGTTGCACTTACCCAGCAAAATGTAATGGTTAATGCTGTTAAGTATGTTTGTGATTTTCTCTTGTGGTAAACTAGCTTGCATGGAGGCAGTCTAGTTGTATACCTAGAAATGTAATAATTGTATCTGGACGTTCGGTTTTCTTGTTGGATACCGGGACTCCAAGGTGGTCAAACAGACTAATGGTTGCTTTGAGACTCCTGGGGGGAAAGGAGTTTGCTTCAATCAGTAAGAAATCATCCAGATAATGGAGGACTATGGGGCATCTAGACACATTAAGTAACAACCAGGAAAGTGTTTCAGCAAAAGTGTCGAAGATTTTGGGGCTACTTTTTGACCAAAAGGTTAAGCGGGAGAAAAAGTAATAGTTATCTGCCCATTTGATGCCATGTAAGTGCCATAGTGTGGGATGGATAGGTAGTAGTTTAAAGGCATTGGTAATGTCTGTCTTACTTAGCCATGCTCCGATCCCTGCTTGCATAATGGCTGTAATAGCATGGTCTATAGTGGCATATTGTAGGGAAATATCTTCGGAGGGAATAAGAGAGTTCAGACTCTGGGTAGATGAGGTATGAGGGATCGACCGATCTATGATGAGTCTTTGCTTGAGGGAAGTTTTCCCTGTGACTATCCCTATGGGATTTGTGCGCCATGCCGTAAAAGGTGGGATTTTGAAAGGCCCGAACAAGAACCCCTCTGCCATCTCTTGGCTAAGAGTGTGTCTATGGCTGTTGGGTTTTGTTGTGCTGATTGTAAATTAGGACACTCGAGTTGGCCTGTGGGCATATGTATAATGCTTGTATGAAACCCCTCTGAGAAACCAGATATGAGAAAATTTACCATATGTCTGGAAGGGTGATTGGTTAGTAGTGCTGAGAAGACATGAATGTTAACAGAGGTTAGATACGGTTTAGGGTACATTTTATTTGGACACATGGTATGTGCATGTGCCCTGAAACAATGTGAACAAATATGCAATAACCTGCATGCACTAAAGCTACATGTGCCTACATTGAAATTATTGCACACTTGTGATTTTACCAAAGAAAATGATGGGACGACCCAGTTTGTCTCTGGTGGTTCTCTCAGTTCTACCCCCGTAGCTTGTGCTAGATGACTGATTACGGTCGTCTGCCGTATGAGAACAAAACTTGGTAGTGTGAGTGGTAGAAGAGCAGGATGTACAAGCCGGTGTTTTGAGACCTGTGAAGAGTCTACAAAATAGCTCTGTATCTAGTCTGCTCCAGTTGATACAGGTACCATACCGAGAGAGAGCTCCAGACACCTTAGTGGAAAAATACCTATGGTGGTCCTAAAAAGCAGATCCACCATATTTGTTCCCCAGGTCCACCAGCTTGTGCATATAGCGATCAAATTCTTCACTTCTATTAGGGTACACTTCACAAATTACATCTCTAAAAATACCAAAGGCTAACACAAATTCTGGAATGGTCAGTTTACGGTTTAACCTTGCGTCTTTGGATTTGACCACTACAGAAACTTCATCGTACATATAGGTTTTGTTCTCTACCACATCCTGGGAGGCAATTAGTAGGGATGCAAGGTTGACGTCTTTGCCTTCCAGAATGTCCCTCTTAATGTGGGCTGGGATAGTGTATGCAGGATCAATGTCCTGATAATCTGAGGAGATAACCATGCCCGTGGTTTGGTTGGTGCCTGTTGAGCAGTATCAGGTCATGAGTGAGGCCAGCATAGCCTGGATATCACCTGAATTGGTGTTGCTGGGGCCTTCCCCTGCTTCCGTGTTGTCGATTGTAGTGTTAAGGAGTTTGAATAGTTCCGCTTTCCTTGCTGTGGCAGGGTAGGGGATTTGTCGCCTCTTTAACTCTGTGGTGATACGTGGGATCGTCCAGGATCTGATTGATGCCGGACTGGCAATGTCTCCTCTACGAGAGGGTGTCTCGACCCTAGTTGGGGTGCCATGAAGAGATAGCTCTTCATCATCTTCAAGAGACATACTTAAATAAAATGAAAGATAGACTTATTATTTGAACTTATTAGTTTAGTACTGGCTACTAGCTATGCCGTGAGGCGAAACCATTATGCTTATTGTTTTTTGGTGACAGGTGAGGCTCTATCTATGGTTTGCGCAAGGGGATTGTTGTGGCAGGATGTCGGCCTCTCGGTGACTGTAACCAGAAAATAGGAAAGGGAGTGACAGGTGAGGCCCTCTCTGATACGTGCGAGGCGGCTAGCTCACGTGTGGCCGTAGGGGTGTTTGCTTCCGAGTTTGAAGTGGGGTGTTGGCCTTGCGGGACCACTAATCCTAAGCATAAATGCAGAGAAAGGAGGAATTAACTATTGGCCCCTATGACCCTAATTGCCAGTACTTGTCTGTTCTGTGGGGGATTTTGAATAGGTCTACTGTAAGCAGGTGGACGTACCTGGTAGTATAGGTTATTGAAACCTGGTAATCCGTATAGGTTATAGTAGTACCTGTAACTAAATAGATGAACCGTATGAAAAAATATATACAAGTGACACAATTATATTATCTTTAATTATGTTCGTATTGACCTGTATAGGTCAGGAGATGGTGTTTGTAAGATCTCCTTAATTCTGTATGTCGCCTTGTAGTTGGTAGGCAAATGTAGTAGTAAAGGCAAATGTAGTAAAATGTATATAAAAAAAGTATGATATATCTGTGCGATTATGTATGGTGGTCAGGAAAGTAATGTGATATTACAATAATGGCAATAGCCTTGCTGACCTGAAGGTGGCAGTGTGGAATCTTTAACCATGTGAATACCCATATGTGTAACTGGGACCTATTTGTTAACCCATTCGTGAGTGTAGTTCCCAAAATGTAACACTAAGCAATAACCTCCCTTTGAGTCCTGCAAGTATTATACACATACATGAATTCTTTATTCCCAACACCTGTCCGTTCGTGCGTTTAACCGCACGAACTGGACAACATAAGTCTAGCAGGGTTTGTCATGCAATGGCCGAACGGCTGCCCGGTCGGCAGTGCTAGTTATAGATGTGAATATTGTTTGTGCGATGTGAAACGCCCGAAAAGGAAGTGACAGGAGAATCAGTAGCATTAAGTGTATAGCGTGTTCGTGCGTTTGACCGCACGAACATAGACATGTATGCGAAACTGCTTAAGCGAGTAAATGAATGGGAGAAATATGCAGCACATCATATTAAGTACCGAACGTGTAACGAAAATGCCGTGTAAGCGAACAGCTGAACCAGGACGGATACAGTATACAGATTTGAAGAGCAGAAATAGCCGAACGCGTACAGTAAGTGAGGACCTGAACCGTATTTGATGCCGTGGGCCTTGTTGCCTAGCGTAACGGTTAGGTCTACTTACTGTTTGATAGTCACTAGGACGCGATCCGCGGCAATAGTAGGCAAGAAGCTGATCCAAAAGAAATCTGCAGAAGGATTCCTGGACACAGTTCAGCGATGGAAAACCTCGTGGGACACAGAAGTATTCCAAAATGGCGACTGGATGAACCGGAAGTGTATTCAGGCGCTGACCTTGAACGGTGTGGAGTCAGGTAAGGGTTGTACCTTATATAGGGGAGTGAATTAATTTAAGACCCTCCCACGTGTGTGTGTGTGTACCCACCCCCCCCCCATGGACCACCGGGGGGAACTGGGAAAGGTGAGACCCAGACAGACACACACAATAAAAATATATATATTCTATCATGGACCACCGGGGGTACTGGGAAAGGTGAAACCTACAGACAGACAGACAGATAGATAGATATATTACTTTAATTCACCCCCTATAGCTCCCTCAGCCAATATACTGTAATTCATCCCCATCTTTATGTGATGAGTCATGTGGGAGAGTTGACCAAAAGGTAAGGTGTTTTACAACAGTTGAAAGAGGTCAACCACCATGTTTTATAATTGACCGGAATATTAAAATCTGAATATCTCATACAGTGACAACTAAAATGGTCTTTTTGTTGTTGTTGTTGCAGGGCTTAAAATGTGAAGTCATCTGCTACTAGTCAGGCATTAAAAGTTACTAGTCAATGAAAGACAATTACCAGGGATAACTTTTTACTGTCAATATAAACCGGCCATTTTATTTTTTGTACCAAAATAGCCATGTCGGGTACACAGTGCACAACTGTCTTTAACGGTAACAGAAAAGACATCCCTTTATAGCTTACTGTGTATCCAGGTTTGGAGTCTATAGTAACATGTGCAGGGCAGACAAAAGCATCGCATCCAACAGTCGGAATAGACAAAGTTCAGTGTGTGCATTGCTATACATTCTACTAGCCCCTCTCGCCCCCAAAAAACAACAACAAAACAAGCCATCAACCTAACTATACTGTAATGCAACTTCAAAGAGAAAACTACCATTAAAAAAAAAAACATTTTAGATGTTGTTGCATTTAGTAACATATGCTAACTTGCAGTATTTCCATGTGCATGTAATAGTAAAATATAATCTTTTTGGCACGATTTAAAGGAAGACTAAAGTTAAATCCAAAGGCCACTACTGCATACGAATTCTTCTTGACCTCTCTGAAGAAGGAGAGCATGATCAACTGGCAGCAAACTCTTCAATCACTCGGACTCTGTCCTCTCATCTCTTGGCAAACTTATCTCATTTGGATTCCACTACCACCTGTACACTGATGACACCCAGATATATCTCCCCTGCCGTCCTGCAACGTATCACTGCTTGCCTTTAATCCATCTCTGACTGGATGTCCTCACGCTTTCTGAAACTCAATCTCTCTAAAACTGAGCTCTTTGTATTTCCTCCTCCTAATACTGATCCTCCTCTTTCACTCTCCCTTCAAATTAGTGGTATCCACATAAGTCCATTTTTGCAAGCGTGCTGTCTTGGCATTTTACTTAATTCTGGCCTCACCTTTGAGCCTCACATGCAGTATGTTGCCAAATCCTGTAGATTCCATCTTAAAAACATACCCCGCATTCGCACCTTTCTAACGCAAGATGCTACCAAGGAGCTTGTCCATGCTCTAGTAATTTCCTGCATGGATTATTGTAACCCTCTCCTAATTGGTCTTCCCAAAAGCCGTATTGCCCCCCTACAGTCTGTAATGAATGCTGCCATCAGACTAATTTTCCTCTCTAGTCGGTCCTCTCACACCTCACCCCTCTGTCTTACATTGGCTTCCTGGATCCTATAGGAGTCAATTCAAAGTGCTCACCCATACCTATAATGCACCGAACAATTCTAGCCCCTCATATCTCTTCACAGATCCATAGCTATACCCCTTCTTGATCTGCCCGCGTCCTTCTCCTGTCCGCTGCTCGCACCCATACGGTCAACTCATGCTTGCAGGACTTCTCGCGGGTGGTTCCCTTCCTATCGCCTACCGCCATCAGATCCCTCTTCAACCTGTCGTTCCTGTAATTAACCTATTTCTAGGTAAATTCCCCTATCATAATATTGTAAAGCGCTACAGAATCTGTTGGCGCTATATAAATGGCAATAAAAATAATTAAAAAAATTAAAGCCCAATGAGGAAGCGCCCTTAATGACACTTACATTAGGCAAAATATAAACATTTCTGTTATACAGAAACAGCAAATAGTTTTACACTGCTAGATAAAAGAAGCAGCATCTCTGCACTAAAACAGCATGTTTGCATCTGGAGGGTTAAAACCTGGGGGACCTGGCACCCAGACCACTTCATTGAGCTGAAGTGGTCTGGGGGACCTGGCACCCAGACCACTTCATTGAGCTGAAGTGGTCTGGGGGACTATAGTGTCCCTTTAAAAATATTTCTAATCTTGACGTGTTCATTTATTGGAGTATAATATACCGATAGACTTTTCTACATAGTTCCACTCTGTATCTGGGAGATCATCAATACTGATCATGTCTAGGCCAGTCCAATGCTTCTCATAGAAATGCACTGGCAATATAAGTTGGATGCATGACAATTGCCATGCTCCGCCACTGAATCTAGTTTCTATAAAAAGTGATCACTACTTCTTTGAACTTGTGCTCGAAGCAAATGAGCATGAAACTTTCCCGGCTCTCAGATAGCTGAGAGGGTGCAACGGTTTGTTTTCCTGGCACTGGAGAGTCCCTTTAAATATGGGTACTTTTAATGCTTTGAGTTTTTATTAGATTTAGTACATTACCACTTTCTCCCAATGTATTACTCCCAGCAACAGTACCTCTACAGTCCATTGTATTGGCAAAGGTGCAATAAGTACTCTATCACCCCTTCACCGAAGGTCACAAACATTTTCCTCTTACCTGACTATGACCTGGTGCAGAGTCTCCGTCAATGCCAGTTAAACAGCATCTGGCTTCTGACGATCCCATCATTCATTCATTGGCTGTAAGTGTCAGCTGCGCACTCTCGGCCAGTGAATGAGTTTGTGCAAGATATGTGCAGAGAACTGACATTAACCAGACGACCTCTCTCGTTCGGACTGGTTTATGACTCTGCAAGAGATGAAGTTACCTCTGGCAACAACATTAGATATCCCAGTGTGAGCAGCGTTTTGTAGTGAAAACTTCACATACAGAGACCATGCACCAGGATTAATTCAAATCACTGAAGTGGTTGTGGTGAACCGTCACCTCTTAACGTTAAGGAATATAAGTTCTTTGCCTCCGTAAACACTGTTAAAGAGTTTGTGAGGATAAAGAGCGCAGTTTAAAACAGGCTTACCTCCATAGCACTCACAATGCAGGTCCTGTCCTCTTTTCTGGGTTCATTCCACAATACTCTGTGGGTGCACATTCTTATAAAGTGTCATATGAGCAGCAACATGAGGGTCAAATAAATATATTATATTATATTATACTCTTGTTGTGCTAGGTCAGCCTTATAAATATATATATTATTTAACTCTTCATAGCTAACATTTTTAGTTCAACCATGGTGACAGTTTAATAGACAAAAATGCAAATGGGTTTGTCCTAACCCGGAGTCCTTAAATACTTCTAAGATGGTTTCTATATATAGCCCTGTCAAGAAACCCTGAGAATCTCTGCCACTGTATGTGATGGCTGACCGGAATTAGGGGGGGGGGGAAAGCAATTACAAATGTGTGTTTCTATGTGTATATTTATAGTCCGTGTGTGATTGGCAAGCTGTGTGTGTGTGTGTGTGTGTGTGTGGCGCTAGTTAGGCGTGAGGATGATTAGGTGAGTATGCCTAGCTTGCATCACAGTCATTGATCAAGTATGTTTGATGTGTTACTTACTAATTCTGTGTGACTTTTAAGGTGTACACAATTGTTACTTATGTTCCTTTTTATTAATGAACATTTTATTTTTGCCTCTATCATTGGTAAGAACTTGTCAACCCTCTATTAAACTACATGAAGAATTATTTGCTGAGCAGTGACAGGTTTTATTCACAGTGAATTCCAGACAATTCTCATCTTAAAAGGATACTATAGTGCCAGAAATACAAAGCTGTATTCCTCGCACTATCGCTCCCCCTCACTCGCACCTCCTTTATTTACTTTATCCCAGCACCAATGCCCCTCTGCGCTGGTCGGTGCTCCGACACCTCTGACGTTGCGTGAAGAGCAGGTGATAATGCGCATGTGGGGCAAATGCCACACTTGCATTAGACCTTCCCATAGGAAAGCATTGAATCAGTACTTTCCTAAGGGAAAAAAATGTGTCTGGATGCGCAGCTGCAAAGCAAGGATGTCCAGCATTAGATATCAGATCAAAGGTCCATTACGATGCAGGAAGCACCTCCAGTGGCTGTCTGGAGGCAGACTTCGTGCTGCAAGTGCAAAAGCAATGAGCTGCAGGGGTCTGGGTGCCTATAGTGTCCCTTTAATGAGTTTAAAATTTAAGGCCAAAGTAGCTGCCTTGAACCATAGCTGATTTGGATCATTTATCCAGTTCAGCTATTTTGGCCTTAAATTTGAATTTCACTTTGAATTCTTGACAATTCTCACTTTAGTGTATAACCTTGTGAGTTTCCAAGATGTGAAACTGCAGGACAAAATAGATGTTGGATTTTTTTTTTTTTTTCTTCGCAACTTAAATAGGTATTTTCCAGTTTTGTACAGTGGGTCGACATTTTCATGTGGCATACCATTACTGTAAATAGTTTCTACAAATGCATATTTTTATTTTTGCTTTGATCATTAGAGAACAATGTTGATGCTTCTAACGGGTAAAACATTTTGCAGCTTTCACTGTGCATTGTGTACTAATCCACTAGCATCTGGACTTTCAGACACACCTGGACTGTAATCCTTAACCAGAGCATTCATAAAACAAAGGACTCCAAAAACGGCAATTCAGAGACAGCAGTGTGTTTTCATCCAATATCTGTTATGTGGTTGTTCACATGCCATGGCTTTCTTGTTTGAATAAACGATTGGTAGAATTGACGTCGTAGTGTAGGGGGTTCAGTGCCTTCAAATTCCACTTTAAAGTTTTATTCCAAGCACCATGACCACTTCACTAAATTGAAGGGATCATGGTGCGTGGAGGTTGTGTGTGCAGCATTTTGCTATAAAAATGCTGTACACGGGTATCACTCCAACTGTGGCCTTGTCTTTAGCCTGCTCAGCCTGGCTAATGTCCATGCTGTTCATATTTGGGTCTGATGCCCATACCCTTAAGGGATCGACTGATCATTTTTCCAGAGTCAATGCCTATACAGATTATTAGTCACCTAACAGGTTGATCTTATGTACTTTTACATTTTTGAAAAAGCATCACCTTTTCTACACAAATCTTGCATTACTGACAGCAAACCCACTCCTCTCACTCGGTGAGTTCCCAGCAAGAACAGTGCTGTTACTGATAGGAGTGGGATTGCTGTCAAATCACACTATCATTCTGACGCAGCCAAATCCTGCTGGAATCACTGAGATCTTAGCATGCACAGTGCTGTTACTGATAGGAGTAATAGCAGTCACATTACTCTCTAACAGTCGGCATTACAGTAGATTATGCACGATTTCCCTCCCTTCTGCTGAAGTCTGCATGCAGGGACTGACAAGGAGGGGTGACGTGAGGTCATAATGTGGTCATTGGCTGGTGGCCTGAGTTTCTGGATGTGGAACATGGCGTGTGGTGACTGGGACAGTTGAGTAAGCCATCAGTAATATCCATAAAGGCCAATATTATTAGACCGACCAAGGCTAATACCGATTTTATTAGAAATATGCATAGGGCACCCGGTGGGCCTCCTTAGTGTGTGTGGGCCCCATGGGGGAAAAAATAAATAGTTGAGTGCAGTGGGGCCCACGGTGCAGCTGCTTTGGGTTCGGGGCAGCTGCCCAGTTTCCCTTGCGTTACAGATGGCCCTGAAGCCAGTACCTTTTCAATTACTGATTGTAACCCCATGCCCATAATTTTATATTTGTCTCCAACATTCTTTCTTGTCAAAGATTTGTGCACTAGTAAGCTTTGCAGCCATCTCTATATTTTGTGTAATAAAATACTTTTTCTTTTTTCAAAAGTTTCAGTCACTCTCTGTATCGCTCAAGTGATATTAGGTCCCATACACCCTGTTCTCAGGATACCATATGGTAATGCAAGTGGGGCAATAAAGCAGTCATAATGACTTTCTGGACCATTTCCAGCCCTACGCTTGGCTAAAATATTCTGAGTGTAGATGAGGTATGACCTTCACTTTCACAAATTGACTATTCTTTGATTAAAGTGTTGGTACCCAGAGTCTGCAGCAGCAATTTGCTCTGCCATGGCTGTCCATAAGATACCTGAAGCACTTATTTCCCAATATCTGTTGTCCATATTGTGGAGTGTGCACATTGCACTCAAAATAGGGAAAGTTCAACTGATGGCAGAACACTGCACTAAACCATGAGTGAACCTGGCTGTGCAGAAACCAACAGCATCCATGGTGTAGCTGTTTTTACATCATTTTATGTAATTTTTAACAAAATGGGTCAATTTTCATCCAGACAATCTTACTGCATTTCTACGGTATATTAGGTGAAATAGTGCCTTAACAAGTGGATTTTGCAGCAATTTAACCCCCTGTAGCTTATGACCCCAGATAAACCTTTTAAATACTATTTGATCCAGACAATCTCTCTGACAGAAAGTGCTGCATTGGAGGGCACACTGCTAGTGTTTTGTATCAGGTATTTAGTGTGAGTAAGTTCCTGCTGTGACACTAATGCCCCCCTGCCCCTGAAGGTGGGTTAATGGTAGCGCTGGATTAGTTATGAGGAATTGAGTATGCTTGAAAACTCAATGGAGCTCCATAGAAGCGAAGTAAAAAAAAAAAAAAAACACACAAAATTTAAAAAAAAACGCAACTTTCGCCAATTCTACAACTAAAGGAAGTTTAATTTTCAGCAACAGGTTCACTTTTTTAATCTTTTTTGTGTACCCTAGCAGCTAGGTGATGTGAGTATCTCTCTGATATAATGCAAAATAGTGTAACAAACTCTATAGGAAACAATAGGTTATAGAAGCATCCAGCAACATAGAGCTGTGTGTATATAAAATAAATAAATATATATATATATATATATATATATATATATATCATGACACAGAAGTGTAACAATATGTGTTTGTGATGGTTTTTTGTTTAAAGGATCACTATAGAGTCAGGAACACAAACATGTATTCCTTACCCTATAGTGTTAAAGGACCACTATAGGCACCCAGACCACTTCAGCTCAATGAAGTGGTCTGCGTGCCAGGTCCATCTAGGATTAACCCTGCCTGCTGTAAACCTAGCAGTTTCAGAGAAACTGCTATGTTTACTTTAGGGTTAATCCAGCCTCTAATGGCTGTCTCACTGACAGCTGCTAGAGGCGCTTTCGCGCTTCTCACTGTGATTTTTCACATTGAGAAGACGCCAGCGTCTATAGGATGCTTTCCTATGGACTGACTGAATGCGCGCGCGGCTCTTTCCGCCCATGCGCATTCAGCCAATGACATCAGAAGAGGGAGGCTAGTCCCCAGTGCCGAGGGAGCCCGACGCTGGAGAAAGGTAAGTGTTTAACCCCCTTCAGCCAGACGGGAGTGGGGGCACCCTCAGGGCACTAAAGTGCCAGGAAAAAAGTTTATTTTCCTGGCACTATAGTGGTCCTTTAACACCACCATCTGGTCCCCCCCTGTGCTCCTCATGCCTCCATAAATATAGCAAAATCTTACTGTATTCAAGACTGATGCTGTAGCTCTGCATGCTGTTTGCCTCAGAAAAACCTGCTGACATCATCAGAAGTGGTAGCTTGATCCAATCACAATGCTTCCCCATAGGATTGGCTGAGACTGACAAGGAAGCAGATCAGGGGCAGAGCGAGCATGATTCAAACACAGCCCTGGCCAATCAGCATCTCCTCATAGAGATGAATTGAATCAATGTATCTCTATGAGGAAAGTTCAGTGTCTGCAAGCAGAGGGTGGAGACATTGAATGTTTGGATGCATTTTAGGCAGCCATGACCCAGGAAGGATCTCTAACCGCTATCTGAGGAGTGGCCAGTTAAGTTATCACTAGGCTGTAATGTAAACACTGCATTGTGTGTCTGAAAAGACAGTGTTTACAGCAAAAAGCCTGAAGGTAATGATTCTACTCACCAGAACAAATTCAATAAGCTGTAGTTGTTTTGGTGACTATATTGTCATTTTAATCCCATTTAAACACCTTTTAATTTTATTAAATCTGAAATTTTATTAATTATGTACAAATTTACCTTGTTTAATCCCTTAAGGACACATGACATGTGTGACATGTCATGATTCCCTTTTATTCCAGAAGTTTGGTCCTTAAGGGGTTAAAGGGGAACTGTAATTTCTCAGAATTTACAGCATTGAATAAAATGTTGCAAATCTTCTATGACCTTCCTACCTAACCGAAAGGAATCATTTCCTTTTTGGTGACTTTTATTTTATTTCATCTATGACTTGTGTTAACTATTTTTTCATGAGATTAATCATTTTTTTTTATTATTATTTTAATTTTATGTAAAAGACTTGGCAAATTACATTACAATTCTGTTCAATCCAATCCAGGCACAGCGCGAACACTTATTTCAAATGAGGAGGAAGAGAGATATAGAATATGAAGAATAGTTTTTTTGTTTGTTTTTGTTATTCTCAATATTGTGAGTGCCAGGTGGAAAAGACAGAGCATATATCAATGAGGTGCTCGTTTGTATTAAAAAGAAGTATGGGTTTCTAGATTTTATTCATAAAGGAAAACTAATGTCAGGAACACAAACATGTATTCCTGACCCTATAGTATTAAAAACACCATCTTGCTCCCCTAAATATACCGGTAGTAAAATCTTACTTGTATTTCAGTCTGCTGCTGCTGCTGGCTCTGCCCTTTATGTACCTGCTTGGCTGACATAATCAGAAGTGTTGCTCAAAGCCAATCACAAGGATTTCCCATAGGAAAAATTGGATTGGCTGAGCTTGTCAAGGAGGCAGATCAGGGGCAGAGCAAGCACAAGCCAAACACAGCCCTGGCCAATCGGCATCTCCTTGTAGAGATGCATTGACTCAATGCATCTCTATGAGGAAAGTTCAATGTCTACATTCAGAGGATGGACACACTGAATGGCAGTGCTTCTCACTCTGCAGCACTGGCCCTGGAAGCACCTCTAGCAGCCATCTGAGGAGTGGCCAGTGGAGTTATCACTAGATTGTAATGTAAACACTGTTTATTGCAAAAAGCCTGAAGGGAATGATTACTCACCAGAACAAATTCAATAAGCTGTAGTTGTTTTTGGTGACTACAGTGTTTCTTTAACACCCCACAAACATGTGTGATAAATATAGGGATAAGTAAATCTTATTAAGTTCCCCTGTAAAATCATCGAAGTCCTTTAGAATCCAGCACATGGGATTGAAAAGAAAGATACAGCACATACTGTCAATGTTTATATGAAGATATTTATATAGAGGCATACCTCTCTAATACGGGGCGTTGGGTTCCAAACGACCTCTGTAAAACGAATCTCAGCCTTTGACATCATTATATGGATTCATATTAAATGCATTACAACATATAGCACATAATTCTAACCTCAATCTGTTATCTGTGATTCATCATTTGTGTATAACGGAAATATGCCATAAAGCAAGGTACACCTGTATGTGAACTGTGTAGGTATTGGTGTCTTTTCTATACAGAGTCTTATAGCTTTAGAAGACTTAATTTTGTGCCTAGCTGTTTCTTCAGGAGGTGTTTGTTTTTCAATAATTTCCTTAAAGTACCCAAGAGTTAACAGATCTGTGGTGATTCTAGTAGGGATCGACCGATATTGATTTTTTAGAGCCGATACAGATACCGATAATCTGCGAACTTTCAAGCCGATAGCCGATATCTTGCCGATATTCTGTACATTTACTATTTTGAATAAATAAACTAATTCGAAAGGTAAATGCACAAAATATACATGCCACATGTAGTGGATGAAGTGTGTTTAGACAGGGGAACTGTGTGTGTAGTGGATGCAGAGTGTGTGTTTGTGTAGTGTGTGTATAATGAATGTAGTGTGTATATAATGCAGTGTGTTTATGTATTGTGTGTGTATAATGCAGTGTGTGTATGTAATGCAATGTGTGTTTGTGTAGTGTGTATGTAATGCAGTGTGTATGTAATGCAGTGTGTATGTAATGCGTATGTAATGCAGTGTGTGTGTCTGTGTAGTGTGTATGTAATGCAGTGTGTGTCTGTGTAGTGTGTGTGTGTCTGTGTAGTGTGTGTGTGTCTGTGTAGTGTGTATGTAATGCAGTATGTGTGCAGTGTGTGTTTGTGTGTGTGTGTTTGTGTAGTGATGTAATTTGTGTAATTTTTTATTTTAATTTTTTTTAAATATTTAAATGGGTTTTTTTTTAGTCCCCCCCCGAGTGTGTTTGTGTCGCGTGTGTTTGTGTCGCGTGTGTTTGTGTCGAGTGTGTATGGTGTGCAGTGTGTGTGTTTGTGTAGAGTGTGTTTGTGTGTGTGTGTAGTGATGTAATTTGTGTAATTTTTTATTTTAATATTTTTTTTAATATTTAAATGTTTTTGTTTAGTTCCCCCCCCGTAGTGTGTGTTTGTGTAGAGTGTGTTTGTGTAGAGTGTAGTGATGTAATTTGTGTAATTTTTTATTTTAATATTTTTTTTAATATTTAAATGTTTGTTTGTTTTTTGTTTAGTCCCCCCTCCCTGCTTCTTACCAGGGAGGGGGATATAGTAGTCCCTGGTGGTCCAGTGGCTTGTTAAGTACAGTGGTGGCTCAGCAGCAGCAAGCGCTGACTTACCTTGCATGCAGCTCCTCCAGCTCCCTGTGTAAATCTCGCGGCTCTTAGTGCCGCGCGGAGCGTTGCCATGGTAACCCGTGGCAACGCTCTGCGGCCGCGGGTCTCGCGAGATTTACACAGGGAGCTGCATGCAAGGTAAGTCAGCGCTTGCTGCTGGCCCCCACAGGACCGCCGGGCTTGTAATGGGCCCGGCGGTCCTGTTATATATTATCGGCAATATCGGTATCTGAATTGGCCGATACCGATATTGCCGAAAATACCAAATATCGGCCGATAATATCGGCCAGACCGATAATCGGTCGATCCCTAGATTCTAGGTTTGACATTCCATTGGAACTGAATTGCTTTTTATTTTTTATTTATTTTTCTGTAAATAAAATAATAGAGGTTCTCTGACTGCAAATTTATTACACCGCAAGTGGACCTGAAAATCTTTCAATTCAATAAAACAACTTATTCCATAAAAATAATATTTATATATGCAAAAATGTATAGGTGGTTTGTTTTGGGGTTTTTTTGGGGGGGATTAAAGCACACAGATTTGACACTAGCCAGCCTGTAACTTTTTCTAGACTGGCTCAAAAAACAGCCAGAGGTGGTTACACATATCTCTATGTGCACAGTGTTTCAAAGAGAACCACTGTACATACAGCCTAGAAGTACCACGACCACTTCAAATCACTGAAGTGGTCATGGTGCTTGGAGTTGCTTCACTGATTTAGTATGAGATGGAAGGCTAGATAGCAGTCTGCTAAAAACTTCAAAATCTGTAGATTTCTAGCATAAAGTCTTGAATGTGATGACTTTATTCTATGCTGGACCAACAACATTTTCACAGTAGATTAATAAGGAAGGTGGAATACCTTGGTAAAAATGTAAGAGAAAAGTATAGAAAAGGAGGAGATAGAAGACCGGGGGTAAGGGTGCAATGGGTAAGAAGGCAAAGCAGTAAAACCGTAATATCAAGACCTTATTGGCAATATAATTCCCAGCATGGTGACCACGGTTTATGAAATTAGGTGATTGTGTTTCTTACATGTGCATTAAGTGATTCTTTTTAAATTTGGGGATAACCTTTTTAATGGGAGGGACCTTATCCTGCAGCCAAGACTGGGAAAACATCCTGCTGTCTGCTAGCATGATCCTACTCAAGAATTCTTGCTTATGGGGGCTGAGGTTATCAATTGCTGTAAATAATGGCTCGAATGGAATTCATCTGTGTAAAAATGCAGGAAGTTAGATTGTGGATCAATTATGAGGCACTTACCAGCATATGTAGTGGCTTTGTCCTATCTCTGCACAGTCTCCAGCAAACCTCTGAATCCATTATCCCCATGTGCAATTTTACGGGTGAGATGTACTAGATAACTAAATGATTGTTCCTGTAGGGTAACATATATGGAGGACTAAGAGTAAGACTCCCATATCTTCACCCAGTTCTGTTTTCCACAAGTCTTTATATCGAAGTTTCCCCCATTCATTTGAGAGTGTATATAGATAATATAGTAATGTGATCAGACCTTTCTAGGGGGCGACTGCGAGATATGACGTCCTAAGACGTAAGAGGTGTTCCAGTCTCCTTTTTGGCTCTTTGGACTAAAGTAGAATTAGTTATTGAAAGTATGCATTCAGCATTCAGAGCGTTCAGCATTGGAAAACATGAAAACTTTTAGTAATTGAAAGTCTTCAGATTGAAGTGCCTCTGGGCTCTGGTGGCTGTCTGGCATTTTGCCTGACAAATGTAAACTTTGTCATTTTTTCACAGATGCACTGTTTATGTTTTTCAGAATGCTGAGACAGGGTTTGCACCAAGACCACTACATTAAAGGTGCATTAGACTGACTTTAGTTGGTTTTAAATAAATAAATCTAACTTTTGTTGGATTTATTTGTACTAAAGGGACACTCTACTGCTCAAATACAAAATAAATAAATATCACTTTTAGTAGATATACCCCAAATGAAAACTATCATGCATTTTTTAACATTGAGGTATATCAAAAACCAGCTTGCAAAAGTTGCAGTTCTGCCTTTGCAATCCCTCCCCTTCTAACCCCTCCCAGACTTTCTGTAGCTGTCCAATCACTTCTCAATGTAGCTTAATCAGAAGTCTTTGCAAGGCAGGTGCTCTGGGCAATTGCTGCCTCTTGAGGTGCATTGAGCTAACGAAACCAGGAAGTAACATTACCTTTTGTCTGCTTGAAAGCTAAGGAGTTGTAACCAGGTTAATTTATAAAAGTGTCGATTTTCTACTGAAATCTGCAGTTTTTGCAAAATGAAATAAAGAGGACACACTCTTCACACCTAAAGCATTTTAGCAAGCTAAAGGGTTTTTTGTTTGTTAGGGGTCTGGAGTGTCTTTTTAAAGTGTCTCTGTCACTCTAAAGTTGTGGAAACAGTGTTGATGGAGTATGACCATTTTCAACATTTATAAAAGTAATTGCGGCTCTCCCTCCTTGACCTTCAGTGTGCTGCTATAGAATTTTGTGCAGTTTGGCAGTGTGTCACGTGGACATGCCACAATGTTATACATTCTCCAAGCTGTTTAAAGATAAATGTGGATTCAAGGGCATACGTGAAATTGCAAAGCTCCTAAAGCTATATCGTCTTCACATTTCATTTCAGGCTAAATAAAGGCCTGTAGATTTTGCAAGAATTGTGTTTGCTAATTTTTATTTTATATTTTGCAAATAAGCAACAAGAAAATTAAACAAACTGGTTGTGTTCTTTATCCATGTCTGTATCTGGAAATGGATTTTGTTTGGGTTGCCTAGATTTTAATGTGTAAATAGATCTTTGTGATGAACGCAGCCTGTCACCCACAATAGATCTTGAAACGCAAGGAGTGTAATGATTAATTCAGATACAATCAAAGTAAGAAACGATTGCTTTCTCAGTAGTGTTTGGCAATTTTCTTTTAGGCAGCCCATCTGTTTTTGCGGCAAACTGAGGCAAGGTTAATTAAAGCATTATTATAGAAAGCTGAGGAGATAAGATTTGCAAACTTGGTCTCATGTAGAGCTTAATTCTAAGAACACAATGGCAACTCAACTGGTATGCAAAAAGTTACATTAACCCATTTGTTACAGACTAAACTTTTTTAAAAGCATAGGACAGTGCAAATGGAGAGGGGGGGAGGGGGGGGGTTGTACATTGTGAATTACAAACTTTCACCCATCATATATGTTGGTGTACACAACCAGTTAGACAGCTGTGATCGTAACCACGTTCCAGTTCCAATAAGAAGCAAAGACTCCGTACTAGTACCCAATTAGGACAGGTACGCTTAATGATTTATTGTACTTTTTTCAAGTAGTTTTTATGAATGAAGAGCTACTGATTGGCTTAGAGAGTTAGTTGAGCACTCTAAGCCAAACATGTTAAACTCAAAGGCTAGCACGGGCCACATAAACAAGTTTTAAGTTTATGTGGGCCGCAAAAAAAAAAAATATAAACCTTAAATTTTCATAGAAAAGTAGGTTTGTTTTTAAAAGTACCGTGTGTGTGTGTGTGTGTATGCCTCTGTCAATATGTCCATGAGAGAGTGTGTGTCTGTTTTTCGATCACATTATTGGTGTTTTTACTCACATTTTTTTTTTCCACGCTGTACTGGTTTAGTCGTGGCTTTTCCCGCCTCCATAGCTGAGATCTTAATGATCTCAGCTAAGCCAATGCTTTCCCATAGGAAAACATTATGAGGATACGCATGTTCTCTATGGGTAACATTCAGCGACTCCATGCAGAGCACTGACACAGGACTCTCTAGTTGCCGTCTGAGTGACTGTCGCTAGAGGTCTTAGTAGGCAGCAATGTAAATGCTGCCTTTTCTGTGAAAAAGTAGTGTTTACATTGAAAAGGCTACAGGGACAGGCTATAGGCACCAGAACAACTACATTAATCTGTAGTGGTTCTGGTGACTATAGTGTCCCTTTTAAAAATATTTGCTCCAATCTTTTTTAGCTGGCTCCTAGATTCCGAACAAATTTGTCAAGCCCTCGGTTAAACTATTCACAAACAGTTTAACCTGTAAAGGTAAGGAAACACCAGGGTCCTCCTGGCACCATAACAATTTCATTTTGAAGTTATTATGGTGTCGGAGTGTTCCTTTAAAGGGACTCTCAAGTGCCAGGAAAACAAACCCATTTTCCTGGCACTAGAGAATCCTGGAGTTAAATCCCCTTCAGCTACTTACCTGAATCCAGTGCAAATGTCCCGCTGGGTCAGGCTCCGCCCATGCTCCGCTGACGTCGGCAGGGAGATCTAATGTGCATGCGTGGCAATGGCCGCGCACGCTTTAGACCTCCACATTGAATAATGCTTTCCTATGGGGAAAATCTGATGCTGGAGGTCCGTGAGGACAGCTCACAGCACCCAGACTACTTCAATTAGCTGAAGTGGTCTGGGTGCCTGGAGTGTCCCTTTAACATAAAAAGAGCCTGAAAAACAAAATCAGAATTAACCCTTTACTTAATCATGTCAGTTGCTAAATATTTCATCTATATTTAAAAGAACACTCAAAGTACCACAACCACTGTTACAACATACTGATTTTGGTTCTAGGAGTGCCCTGGTCATCCCTCCATTGTAAAGAGTCAAATGTTTTAGAACAATATGACATATTACCAAGGGTGTACCGGATGCTGCTCTATAGTCACTAGAACAACTACAACTTATTGTATTTGTTCTGGGAAGTCTAATCATTCCCTTTAGGCTTTTTGCAGTAAACTTCAGAGAAAATGCAGTGTTTACATTACAGTCTAGGGTTACCTCCACTGGCCATTCCACTAGAGGTGCTTCTTGGGGCAGTGCTGCACAGTGTACAGCATTGCCAATCAGTGTCTCCACCCTCTGCATGGAGACACTGAACTTTCCTCATAGAGATACATTGATTCAATGCATCTCTATGAGGAGATGCTGATTGGCCAGGGCTGTGTTTGACATTTGCTGGCGCTGCCACTGATCTGCCTCCTTGACAGTCCAATCATATGAGAAAGCATTGTGATTGGCTCACAGAATAATTTCTTATGATGTCAGCAAAGCAGGCAGATCAGAGCCAGCAGCTGCAATCTTGAATGCAAGTAACATTTTACTATGTTTAGGGAGGCTTGGGATGGCTAGATGGTGGTATTACCACTATAGGGTCCAGTAAATTTCTAAATAAATAAGTAACCATTTTAAATGTGAACAATGGTAAAGATTTGTATTTTAAAGGAGATGCCACTTCATGGCATTTTAGTAGTGTGGTTAATTATCAATATATTTCACAACCATATTTTTGTATTCCTGAACCCATAGTATTCCTTTAATGTGATTTCGAAATAAATGACAGCTCCCCTTTTAAAAGTAAACTATAGCATTAAAAAAAGCATTATAAAAGTAATGCAGGAAAAATGCATACTTTTATAGGTCCCCTGTAATTGGCCCTTTTATACTTTAACCTTGTTACACCCCCTGGCTGTCAATCAGACAACCAGTCCTGTTACTTCCTGATAGTTTATCTAACTCTAGAGGGGTTTATGCGATATGTAGGTCAGCACTTGGAAGCCATTCAATGCAGCTCTTAAATGCTTTTTGGCAACTCTTAAAACTATTAGAAACCCTGTTTGTGTCAGTAGCAAAAGCACACTTAGGAGGATGCTGTATTTTCCATCTACCCATATGTTATGTCTTTCACTGAAGGGTACTGGAGTTATAGTTCCAGCCTGAGGGGCCCACCTCCATATTGACATTATCCTTAAATCTTTGCTGAGAGTCCAGAACAGACTCATGTCCCGTACAAGAACACAATGATCTAATTAATTGTGCTTGGAGTGTTCCTTCTGATAAATGATTCAGTCTAGCATGATGGCGATCAGTCTACTAGTTTTGGACATGGACAAATTTACATCATTGAAGAAACAATGAAGTCTGTTTGCTGTTACTGCTGCTACATGCAGTATGACTAGTTTTTATATCTAATAGGAGAGATTGCTTTTTATAATGGTGTGAGAGTATTGTTTGTTCATTACAATTCCCCTTAATATAAATTTGTGCTTTACTGAAAATCTAATATTCGTTGCTAGAATAGACTACAATGCAGAAAATCAGTCAAATAACATTATATCTCGGTAATAAACACTTGATGCTTACTCCGATCATCATAAATCATACTGCTCACTGATGATGTGGAGTGTAACTCTGCCTGGTTACCCTGTAATAGGGCAAACCGTTTAGCAATGGTTTACCTACTTACCTGGGTCCCCACCGGGCTCGGACACTCTCTGGCGGTCCAGTGATGTACTCCTGGTTCCTGCAATATATCAATTTTAAAGGTGAACAATGGTAAAGATTTGTGTTTTAAAGGGGATGCCACTTCCTGGCTTTTTAATATTGTGGTTAATTATCAATATATTTCAAAACTATGTATTTAATAAAATTTAAATGTAGAAATCTATACCTCTTTAGCCTGAAACCGGGCAGTCGTTGTTATAAGCTCTGTCTTTTGCACTTGGCAGTTAGCATTGAGAACACATATAGAGAATACGGCATGCTTTTTATTTTAATTTCTATACTCCTCTCGGATTAATTTTTATTTTTGTTTTTATATACAGTGGGATCTCTGTTTACGAATTTAATGCGTTCTCCGGGACGTTTATTATTGTGAAACATTTGTAAACTGAAACGCAGTTTCCCAAAGGAATGCATTGAAAACCAATTAATCCATTCTGGAGGTCAGAAAAAAGTCAAAATGAGCTGGAATGGAAACCAACCCACAATGCAGAACACACAGTAAAAGTCATGCAAACGATGAAGATCAGCTTCCTACCTTTACACAGCTTGAGAAATGCACCAAAAAGTCCCAAAACAACTGAAAACAATTTCCATAATGGCTCCAAAACCCAAAGCAAAAGCCTCTCCAACACCTCCACACCTTAACACCCCTTCAGCAGCTTACCTTATTCCAGGGCTGGGCTTCCTTGGCGCTGGTGACCTCTCACCCCCTCCCCGCCGACATCAATTTCTCAATGCTTTTCTATGGACGCTCTGCGTGATGGAGGCATAATTTGCCTCCAGCGTCGCAGTTGCGCCTCTAGTGGCTGTGCGGAAGACAGCCTTTAGAGGCTGGCTTAACCCCAAATGTAAACATAGCAAACTGCTATGTTTACATCTGAAGGGTTAAAACCTGAGGGACATTGCACCCAGACCACTTCATTGAGCTGAAGTGGTCTGGGTGACTATAGTGTCCCTTTAAGGTTTGAGACTTTTTTTGTTTTTATTGTGTATTAATGCTTGTAATTCATGTGTATATGACTTTCCTAATACAGGATTTGATCATTGATTTTAATGATTTGTTTTTCTTTGTAGCCTGGAAGAGTTGTCACACTTGTTGAAGACCCAGAGGTAAATATATTCTACAATGTTCAATAGAAATGCAAAATGGTAACAAACACTCTGAGTGATCAGGTAATCCTAAAATTGAGTGAATAACACAGGCTGGACCTCTTCATTGACCTTGTGCTACTGTATACTCAAAACTGTATGCAAGTATTTTACATTTTTGATAAATGAAGTGCTACGGGCAGCTCACGTGAATTTGTACCATCAACCTGCTAGCCCTACACTTATCTCCGCTCACTCCAATCACAAACACAAGCTGTTTATTCAACTTGTATTCATGTTGCCTTCCTTGGGACATGTAACTTTCCTTTTTGTAACTCTTCTGCCCAGGTCAAGAATTGTGTAAAAGACCAGTAGATCTTCTAATGCCGGCATAACTGGTTCCTTCTGTGGCAAATGACTTTTAAGACCTACTCACTTACCAAGGGAGGACCATTATCCTTATAACACTGCCCACTTTTCTAATTCTGCTAACTTGTGGTTCTATCACCAAGTGATTCACCACTATCACTAGAATTGAGAACTAATTCACATTTTCTTTGTACTCCAGCTTCTATCTTTTTCTCAGCCACCATTTATCCTGTTGGCATGCTTAAGTGTGCATGTTTCTGAATGACACAGCACTAGATGTAGCTGCATGCAGTGGTAAAAACTTTTTTGCACTTTTGCCTCTTTAAATCATTATGGAGACTTAATCATACCTCCCAAGTGTCTCTATCGGGGGCAGTCCCTATTTTGGGCCCAAATCAATCTGTCCCTATTTTCTTGGAGCTCCATATTTTTAGTGTGTGTTAGTGTATACCAGAACTCCACAGAAATAATACTCACAGTAATGTATCTTTAAACTATAATAAATGTGTTTAGAAATGATTCTCTGTAAATAAAACCTGTTGTTCTAAATGACAGTTTAGTTGTCAAAATTGTTGTTAAGTCACCAAAAATGTATCGCTACACGCCCACTCACACCCCTAGAATTGTGTCCCTCCTTGTCCATTTCAAATGTTGGGGTGTTTGTTAATTTAACTCTGCAAAACCTAGCTTTATTTTACCAATTGGTAAAAGCAACATAATAATCTGACAATGATTTATGAGATAGTTTTAGGTATTCTTTGTGATTCTATTGTAATATTGGTCACTCCCTAGATTGCCGTGGTTTCCAAAAGGTCTTCCTTATTGATCTGTGACTTGACAAAACTACAGTTCAAGTGACAAAGAAAAGTGGAATTATGTGTTTTATAAAAAGCTTAAAAAACACAACATAGGAGACTCTGACATAGCCAGAGATTTCAGAATGCCAGTTTAACATAGTTGATCTAAAGCCACACGTTGCTCTGTAGTTGATAAACACATAAAATGCAGTCCAAGTTATTTGTTTTCACTGGTTGTTCTGACATTTTCTGGTAAGTGTGCTATACAGTTCGTTACAGTTGTCCTTATCAAACCATTATCCTGGCCCTGTGTTCAGTGGGCTTTTTTTTCATTTACTTCTTTTGTCAAATTTAAGCCTCAATTGTAACTGCAAGAGCCAGTTTCAGGCAGCAAACTGGTGCATGTATTTGTTTTCGTTTTGTTATTTAATATTGAATATATTTTAATGGATGTGGGGTATAATTGGACAGCAATGTTTTATAGTTATGGGAAATGATTTTTGTGTTTATTGTTATTCTAACAAACAATCGTGGTGTGTATCTGGCTTGTATTTCTTTGAGTGGTGTAAAAAATAACTGAACATTTTTCATGCCACAAAGCTGAACACGTTAAGTCTGTGCCCTCAGTATCTTGTTTTATCATTGCCTTCGTCCCTTTAAAGGGACACCGTGGGCACTGTATCTGCCTCATCTCATTAAACTGGTTATAGTGTCTGGAGTCCTCTGGTACCATCATTTCTTTCAGCATTAAACAGTTTTTAAAGTTTTAATGCTATAATGCTAAACAAGAGTCCCAGGCAATCCATCCCCTCTGTGCTGCTTTGGCTAATAAGGAAGTGTTAGCCTGAGCAGCAATAGGCAGCTGTGATTGGCTGAATGTGTCAGCTGACTGCTTTTAGCCTGTCAGAGTTCCAAATGACGGTATGAATGGGTATGACAACAAGGAAGTGTGTAATCTCTGCCTTAGCTACACATACTGAAGGGGCCAGACTGTGGGTGGCAAGAGACTCTTATTTTGTGGCATACTGCACAAACATGGTGCAACACTGAATGGAGGGACAGTGCCAGGGCACTCCAGGCACTATAACCAATTCAAAGAGATGAAATGCTTATAGTGACTACAGTGTCCCTTTAAGTATACTGTCTGCTACAGAGAGGTTTTTTGTGAATATTTTCATTGCCTGCTGTAGAACTGCAGGGCTTATAAAATTCCAATGGAATGCTAAATCATGGCCAGTGTAATACATACAACATTAGGTCAAAGTCAGCTATGTTGTTAGTTTGGCTACTCTGACCTTCATTGTGAAAGTCACTTTGCATTTTCACGTTAGTAAAAAATAACCCTGATAATATTTCTCTGATATTGCTCTTTGAGGAGGCAACATTGTGAATGTATTTAAATAAATGTGTTGAGGACAAGGCATACCTGCGTTGAGGACAAGGCATACCTGCGTGTTTCACTGCTTTCATGCATTATTTTACCATAAATATTTGGATGGTAACACACATTTTGGATCTTTGTTACATTGGATTAAATTGAATAAAGTGCAGGCTGTCTTTATGCTGTATGAACCATGTAGGAATTCTAGCCCTTTTTATACATTCTCTCCATTTGTAGGGGTCCCAAAGGTAGTTTGCCAAATTGACATTAAAGGACCACTCTAGGCACCCAGACCACTTCAGCTTAATGAAGTGGTCTGGGTGCCAGGTCCTTCTAGGGTTAACCCATTTTTTTATAAACATAACAGAGAAACTGCTATGTTTATCAATGGGTTAAGCCTTCCCCCATTGCCTCTAGTGGCTGTCCCATTGACAGCCACTAGAGGCGCTTGCGTGCTTCTCACCGTGATTTTCACAGTGAGAGCACGCAAGCGTCCATAGGAAAGCATTGTAAATGCTTTCCTATGCGACGGGCTGAATGCGCGCGCAGCTCTTGCCGCGCGTGCGCATTCAGCCCAGGAGGAGGAGAGGAGGCAGAGAGCTCCCCGCCCAGCGCTGGAAAAAGGTAAGTTTTAACCCCTTTCCAGAGCCGGGCGGGAGGGGGACTCTGAGGGTGGGGGCACCCTCAGGGCACTATAGTGCCAGGAAAAAGAGTATGTTTTCCTGGCACTATAGTGGTCCTTTAACCTTAACAAAATCATGGCGCTGTATTTGCTTGCAACTTTGTTGCATTTAACGATCTCTTAAAAAAAAAAAAAAAACCTTATTCGAGGCTTGGTATGTTCTTTCCTATTCGTGTTTTGTAGCCACCATCATTGGTTTCTGTGTTCTTCTATTCAGTCTTGTCTTCAGAAAGTGAAACAAAATGTTAATTCAGGTAGATAGGCTTTGGTAGTCAAGAATGTGCCACTCTATATTGTGCAGAAATGTCTTCTTTTATATTTATCTTTAGCAGTGATTTGGGGTTTTATTGCCCGTAAAATTTTTAATATCTTCATATCTGCTGTAAAGCAATTAATCGGCTCGGGAAAGATGTTTCTGTAGATTTTGAATTTTATTCTACCACTTCTTTAATCTGTCGTCTATAAGACAGGTGAGCAGGTACTTGTGCAGTCATTAATACCCTGCACACTACATTTCAGAGGGTGTATGCATTTGTTGTGTGCAGAGACTTATAAATATACTTTTATATTTTGTCTCCTATGATCCAGAACTTCTTATGTTGTATGAACTTTCATCAAACTGTAACCCAACAATTTTGTTCTTGGGTCTAAATGTTTGAAGTAATCTGAGGATATCTGCTATAGTCAAGTTTTATGGTACATGGTTTTGTTTCTTCTCAGTTGCAAGTCTTGCCCTCCCAAACACAGGTTTTCCTTGATTGTTGACTTACTTGACTGACTGACTGCTGCTCTGGTCATGAGTAAAACAATAAACTGATGATACCACTAGAACGACCTCCAGACCATGTGTTAGCAAGTTCCTGACCTTGTCTGACTCTGCTCTCTTGTGAAAAAACATTTTTCAATAAAATTAGGGGATAAAGGTTTTAAAAGATTCATAGATATAAATTTACAAAGCAAAAAACAAAACCTGTCACTGTCCAAACAATATGACGCACAGATGCATTATATATTGCCTTATTATATGTGTAATTGTCTGGTTTTTTTTGTTTTTTTTTTCCCTCAACAGGGCTGTGTGTGGGGTGTTGCTTACAGATTGCCAGAGGGAAAAGAAGACGAAGTGAAGGCTTACCTTGATTTTAGAGAGAAAGGGGGCTACCGGACTACAACCGTTGTCTTTTATCCCAAAGATCCCTCAATAAAACCATTTAATGTACTTCTGTATATCGGAACATGTGATAACCCCAACTACCTCGGTCCAGCTCCTTTAGAAGACATTGCAGAGCAGATTTTTAATGCAGTTGGGCCCAGCGGAAAAAACACTGAATACCTGTTTGAACTTGCAAATTCACTCAGGGATCTGGTTCCAGAAGATGCAGATGAGCATCTGTTTTCTTTAGAAAAGTTAGTGAGAGAGCTTTTGGAAAGACATCAAAATTGTATATAAACTACCATGGCAGATTTGTTAATTTAACAGCAAAGCATCTGGCACTGCAATGCCCCAAATATCTTTTATTCATACAAATTACAGAATCTGTGTTACATTATTATTTTAAAATGTAATTTTATGTGCAAATGCAAAACATCCCTGTATTTATTCTCAGTTTTACGATTCAGATATTCTTTTGCAAAGTACTTCTGTTTACCTAGAAGTAGATAAAATCATTTTTATTTTATTTTTGGCAAGTATGAAATGTAACGTATCTGCAGGAACGGGGAAAAGTATATGCAAAATAGAACATTTCCTTATGAGAAAATGTGCCACGTTCTCATGTCTGCAAGTGCAGTGTTCTGTTCCAAATTCTCAGAGGTATTTGTCATACATAATATGCTATTATTCTCTAAAAAAAAGTATACAAAAATAAACGGCATAGGCACACAGGAGGAACAGCAGGGGACGTTAACAATAAAGTACGCCTTACAGTTTATTTAAAGAGTGCAGAATTCATAAAAACACAGTAGTAATCAAAACCTGCTTATGACTAAATGTATGTTTGCATGAAACGTATAAAGAGGTTTACTGCCAAATCCCTTGATGTTTTAATGCACTCTGCACTTTTTTTGAATAAACTGTGGGGATTACTTTATTGGATACATCGCTTGCTGTTCTCTCTGTGTACCCCTGTCATTTACTTTATTTTATATTTGGTGCGGACTCCAGCGTATAGGAGCGCTGGGATTAGGTGAGATCCAGCAAGCTATCGGTGGTTAGATATATGAGAAAGGGTATCTGCATATTTTTGGTCAAAACAGCCAATCTGGGAAATAATTTTTTTTTAAATATACATTTAAACTTTTTACCTGGAAAAGAAATTGCAATTAACAAATCTGCTTTTAGTGTTTTGGTCATATGAATTTAGCTTACATATTCAGTTATCATCCAGCAGCACCAAATGCTGTGTTTTTTGAAAGCCAGAGACCTAACCTTGATATACAGAGCATGAATAAAGTATCACAAATACGTTAACAAGGTAGCCATCTTGTCCTTCTGGCAGGCTCCAGCTCAGGTAGTTTGCGAACTGTTACCTCGGTTAAACATAATTCATTTTTGTTTGCTTGTACAGTATTGTTGATCTAAGCAGATTCTGCAGCCTTGCCATTCATACCTCTCTTTAGAGGCAGTGTCATAACAAAAGCCGACATTGGCAGGGCTGTTTTTCTGATGATATGTCCAAATTCTGCTAATGCGTATGTAACAAACAGAGATGTTCTGAAACCTTGTCCACTGTTATTTTTGTTTTATTTTTTTTTTTAAACCTCATCAAGACTCACTCACAGTTTGTCTTCTCTTTTAGGGTTTAACATTATATATTAACAGGCTATTGTGTATATAAAGATTCCATTTGACTCAAGCAATTCTTTGGCAGAAACCCCTTTAAACCGACAACCCTTTGTATTGGTTTTAGCCCTTACATCGAAATAACTAATTTCTTTTACAGTCTTACTAATGAACGATTATATTTAACGGACCTCTTCATCTCAATGCCCTGTCAGTTTACTCCTGCAATGTAAAACATAGCAATTTTGTAGTAGCTGCAATGTTTACATGGCAGAGTTAAATACACTTCCAATGACTGTCTTCCCGACAACCATTAGACACCCTTCCTCCTTCAGAAGCAAGTAAAACTTTGTCTTGGAATCAAATGCTGCTGATAGCAGCATTCAATTGGAGGAGCATAGCGTTTGACCGCGCATGCCTAGTTCCAATCCATTACTTCACTATGAGAAGCATGGGATTGGAGAAAGCCACGGGTGATGTCAGCATCTGAGCAAACCTCATTGGACGAAATGCTTGAGGCTGCAGTGAAGGAATCCTGGCGTAGATCAGGAGGTGAGCAATCGGTTAATTTATATAGATTTTTTTTTTATTTATTTTTAATGCCAAGCTGGGTGGACAGAAGGGATCCTATAGTCCAAAAATAACAATTATTTTCAGGACTATAAGTAAACTTGAATTTTTTTCATACATATATAATGTATGTATAATTGGTGACATTGCTGCTAACAATAGCAATATTTATAAATAAAATAACTTATTTAATAGGTGCATATGAGACTTTACTAAAAAGTCTTTGTTTCTTATTTTGTGTTTATTTCCACTCAACGTTATTATATGTACTAAAAGGGTACGTAGGTTAAATATTAAATGTATATTAATGTTGCAGAACCACATCTCATGAAACTCCTGTAATAATTATTATATTATCTTATTAAAAGGTTTTAGTTTTTTTCCGAATTTCATTACGCATTTACTTTACCTCTTTACTCATTATCCATTCTGGCAACTGTACCGTGCCTCTTGTTTGTTTTTTGTTTTTTTTTTTGTTTTTTAAATACTTGTGCACCTGTGATTTACAGGATTACAGGCCATCAATATTTCATCGGTTATTGCTGTTTTTAAGGTCAGATTGGTTTGTTTTCAAAGGCTTTTAATGCAAATTAAGCTACTGCCAAATTCCGAGCCAGGTTTATATTAAAAAAAAAAAAAAAAAGCCTTCTGAAGCATGAATTAACACTTGATGTCTTATAAAGGTAAAATGTTAAGGTTTGGTTTTTTTGTTTTTAAACCTAGAACTTATCATTTGCATGTGTGAACATCCTTTTAACCCACATTTATTAATAATGACACACTGTATTAAACCACTATATGATACACATCTGCATGATCTTATTTATCTGCATAACTATGGAGCACTATGCATCATTGAAAATACAAGCCATAATTAAAAGGCTTCAAACATTGTTGGCAATCAAAACTTGTAACTACATAATATAGTGGTTAAAGGAATAATCCAAGCACCATAAATACTACAGCTTATAGGCGTCACTTCGTGCCCCCATTCCTTCCCCCTCCACCCTTTTGTAAGTCAAACAGTTTAGAATGGGTTGGGTTTTTTTTGTTTTTTTTTTAATACCTACTGTACGTTGGGTAGTCGCTCTCCTCTACATCCAACAGCGAGCTGGAAGCTCTGTTTATAATCTTGTATTAGTTCAGTGGAGGGCTGGCGCTCTCTAGGCGAAAGCTCTTCATCTGAGCTAAGCCCAGCTGTGCAAAGCTCATTTGCTGAGAGCAATCATTGCACTACATGGCTTAGCTCAGGAGAGCTAACAGAAGCGTCTAAGCCGGAATTCGTGCTCTCCTGTTTGACCCTACCTAAGAAGTCAAATTGCTCTAAAACAGTACAACCAGTAACAATTTTGGGACTGAAGGACACTTTTGACATCATAAGCACGACAGCGTGCTTTAGTGGTTATGGTGTACCTTAAAAACACTGCAAGAACCATGAATTGTGCTATTGTAGTTATGGTGCCAAGTTTGACGTCTTACCTGGAATCTACACAGCACAACTCCCCACCTCCGCTACTTCGACCAGAAAGCCAGAGCAGTGCTTCTGTTGGCTCTCCACATTCGGTCATACAGGTAGAGAACTTCTGATTCACTGGCTGAGGTAGTAGAGTCAGGGAGCCTCTGTGTTTGTTCTAGGTTGCATGTGAACATAAGACGGTTGCCATGGTCAAATAAACAATGAATTTACGCAGATTACTAAAGCTGGATCATTTTAACTTCTGAATCTTAATATTTAAAATTCATTTTTAACTAGGTCAAACTTTTTTTTTTGTCAGTACTGTAAATATGATTTATCTCTCTTTTAAATGAGGGTGAGGATATGTAAGAATGAAGTGAGTACATGCTTGGTATTAAAGCAGAGTAGGCACCTGCTTTCCCCACATTGCAGCTGCCTACTCTGCTACTCTACACACACACACACATACACTCACAGACACACACTTACAGACACACACACACACACAAATTATAATTTTTAGTTAAAAAAAATGTCCACCCAGCTTCCCTACCTGGAGAGCTGGCGTGGACATGTTCCTGGGGTCCAGTGGGTCGGGTGCCTGTCTCCATATCATGTGGGGATATTTATGGGATAATAATAGTAAAGGTGAGAATTGCCCACTAATTCAATTCTCAGACCCCAAAGAACGTTTATCGTGTTAAGTGAAATGTATACCATATAAAATAATATCACAATGTTATAAAAATAGATTTTATTTTATAATAATATGTAACATGCGTGACGATAATCAATGAATATCCAGTACAAAATGATATGCAATGCAAAGGAATGTCTATACACGTTTCAATGGCTAAACAGCATTTTCTGTCAAGTCTTACACGATTTATGAGGTATCCTTACAGAGAGAATAAGTTTCACTCAGAGAACAGAATTCTAAAGAGTGCAGCGTAAGGTCGTAAAGTTTAGCTGACAGAATAACCCTTTCAATGCTGGATAGATCTCCTAGGTAGTTAAGATCTATTCTTATGTAATTTTAAATAAAATAACATTTAAACCAGTTCATTAGTCATTTCCTGGAACCATCCAGTAAGAGAATCTACCATATTTATATAAGCAGAATTTTAATTCGCCTAAAAAGATCTTATATTGGAGCAAATCAATACACCTGGATAAAAACAATCACATCAATATATAATTATTCTTAATTCCACCTGCAGAATTGAATGTTTATAACTATATATTCTTTAGTTAACTAAGATTTCTTAATATGGAAATCTGACCGTGCTTTATCCAGTCATATATAATGCTATTAGTACATTTTAATTAATTTAATTAATTAAATGAAACCAGTATAATTACCAGTTGAGTAGATATTTCATCCGATTGGTAGATAGTCTCAGAAACTTATTTGGATGTCTCTCTGCATGGAGGTGTGTAGGTAATAGTGTCCTAGAGTGTCATTGCTCCCGACTGCTCACTTCTTTGCATCCCCTCTCTTTACTTTGTCCTAACTTTTAAAGGGCCAGACTCTCTGTACGTCATCAGTTGATAACCCAATAGAAGCACTAGAGGTGTGCTTATCTTTCAGATTGCAATTTAGGTATTTGGTCTATAGAGGGCAGTCTTGTCCCACTAAACATACCTATCCAGGAAAGAGTTAACTTTTCCTGGTGGCTATTTTGACGTCATTTTGGCCTATCTTGATAGTGGCCATAACTTACATTTGCTGTCAGATCAAACAGTTTCTTTAAGTTTTGTCCAGACTATGTGTCTGGCAAATTCTGAGTTTTGACCCGTAACTTACAATGGGACCTTATACATATAGACAGTGAAATTAAATTATTTAATCTTCTCTGTCACAAATGTCTGGGTTTAGAATTGATCTATTCCATTAGCATTTTAGACCGTCTATCCAACCCCCGTTCTCCTTATCACTTGGTTTGTATATACTATGCATTCCTTTAGCTCTGGCAAAGTGGTTAGTTTTACAGATAGAAATCTTGTGTCTTTTTGTTAACTTGAAAATAACAAAATGGAGTCTGGTCTGTTCAGAGTGACTCAGAATATACACTTTTAATTTCTATCATAGCACAAAATGTCTGCCGATATAAATACTCTGACAATCAGACACGGCGAGGGAGCTGTGTGCTCTCTGCTCCCTCTCGGCGCGCGGGCTTTCTACAGAAGCTGGGAGCCGGAATATGACGTCATAGTCCGGCTCCCGGCATTAGCAAACGGCGCGCGATGCGAGGGAGCAGAGAGGACACAGCTCCCTCGCCAAGTCTGATATGGAGGCAGGCCCCCGACGGGGAGGGGGGAATCCATCACCTCTTGGCCCCCCCCCCATAGCAGGGGGAACATGGGGAGGGGAAGAAGGGGGGCATTTAGGGGCGCTGAGTGCCTGCAGGAATGGCGTTCCTGCTCAAAAAAAAAAGTGCAGGAACTCAATTCATAGTCGTGCCGCGGGGATTAGGGTGTGCCCGCCTATGATAGCACCAACTTATACCTCAGCACGTTACAATATTATAAAAAGGGAGACTTTAGCAATAAATGAGAATTACAGTAATCAGTGAAAGGAATGACTAGAGCAGGGTTAGGCAACATTCGGCACTCCAGATGTTGTGTACTACATCCCCCATAATGCTCTGACACCCATAATGCTGGCAAAGCATCATGGGAGGTGTAGTCCAAAACATGTGGAGTGCCAAAGGTTGCCTATGCCTGGACTAGAGCATGAACAAGCTCATGGCAGCATCTTGTGTACAAAAGGGGCAGGCGCTGGCAATGTTTCTCTGGTGGACAGGTTTTGGCAACAGACTGGACGTGAAGCCAGAGTCAATAAAACAAAGACCGGGAGCTTGCAAGGACGGGTTGCAGGTGGTATTAACTTGCAGGGAAAGTGAAAGGAGGATCAGTGTTATGAGAAGAAAAAAGAAGAAGCTGTTTTAGAGAGATTCAGTTTCAAAAATTCAGAGATGGATAGGGTTTGATTCAAAATATTCAACCATTTTATATGTATATTAATTTTTGATAGTATTATGCATATTTACATATCCACAGAGTCTTCTATCCTGGAGATAATTGGCAAGTAATCCAATTATCTCCAAGGACAGAGGCAAAACTCCATTAAGCACATGGCAGTAAAAAGACCGTAAAATACAATAAAATACACCAGGTTACATTTATCACATAGAACATACACATTCTACCTATCCCCAGATAGCTTAGATCTGAGCGCACATTATTACCAGATGGCGCTCAGATCACGTACATACAGTTCAATCGCTTTTGTGGAAATGAGATATTAACATAATTTTTAGCTAGTAAAATGTCTATTTACTTTATATAGTTCTCAATCAGCATTTATCATTTTATATGTGATTTACTTAAAATGGCCGCTGAGGAGCTTCCCCTCTAACATCGACTAACTAGCTCGTGTAACAAGATGGCGCTGGAATCTGGGGGAGACCCTCATGTTACCAGTGACATCAACCCTTGTAGGAAGAGCATTAGAAGAACCACTTAACAACTAACCAATTAATGATGTATTATTTCATGTTATCTCTGACAATGCATATGATGTAATTTTGCTTTAAAAGGGACTTGCCGTCCCCTCTGAATAAACATTCCTCAAGTTTTTCATCAACCTGAAACTTGTGTCTGGTGTGAATTACTTCAGGGAGCGTGCACGCACTGTTTCTTTAATTTGGCCAGGTGCAGATACACAAAATAATCAATTTATTGATTGATTTCCACTTCAACTGGCGCCAAACGTGGGGCCCCGGATTTGCCGGTTCGGAGGGCCGGAAACCAACGGACCGGAGCGGACCTCCGGAAAGTGGGACAACCGAAGCCTGATCACCTCCAAAATACAGCCGTTGCCTGTATTCTCCTGTTTTGTGTCGGTCTGCCTCCGCGTCCACTTCCGGCTTCCAGAAGGCTACAAGACAGGTAATCTCTTATGTGGTGCCTCTTTTAATGAACCGTCAATTGTCTATCTGCCTCCTGAGTGTTTGTATGAGTGTGTGTGACGGTCGGTGCATGTGTTTTCTTTTTAAACTTTAGCTTGACTGCCTAGCAGGCAGGGGACCACCCGGGGTAACAGGGTTGGGGTATTACGTACAGCCGGTAAGGGGCTGGGAACAACCCGGGTAACAGGTTTGGGGTATTACGTACCCGAGTAACAGGGTTGGGGTACTACGTACAGCCGGTAAGGGGCTAGGAACCACCCGGGTAACAGGGTTGGGTTATTGCATACAGCCGGTAAGGGGCTGGGAACCACCTAGTGGAAGGTGGGGTTTTTTGCTGTAGACCTGGTAAAGGGTCGGATTACAGCCTAAAGAGAAGCTGGGATTGTTACTATTTGCAGTTTGGTGCTCTCTGTTTTAATATGTACATGGCCATATTATTCTCTGTCATTCTGTGGATTTTGTTCAATTGTTGCTACAGTGTGGGTACCCTCGGTGTGTGTGTGTTGTGTGGCTCATCCTCAATTCTGGGGTTTACACTCATCTCTATGTGTGTGATTTTTGTAAATGCCTTTTGCTTAGTGTTGCCACATTTATCTTTTCCTTTGTTCTCTATCTCACCTATGTCTGTTGCCCAGAGCTGTGTTAGTCACCCACGCTCGCCCGCTCCGGTCCGCGGCCACCAATCTCGGGTGGGCGGACCCCTGTGACTAGTCATACGTATTCCCCGGCATCCCCTGGGCTGGGATGTCCTATATTTAAGGTGAGTTTCATCGGGGTTGACCCTGCAGGTTTACACAAGGTCATTCTATACAACAAGGGCTTCCCATTTCTGTCAACCCTGTCTAAAGCGCATTGGGGCTTATAGCCCCAAGGTCTACCAGTATTCCAACCAGAGGCTTTCCAGGAACTACAATGATGTCCCCAATGCCTTCCCGTTACACAGATATATGGGTCCTTCTTGTTAGGTATGTCTTTGTATATGGCAGAGTGTTGTGTTTGTGGAAAAGTACAAGAAACAATATCACAATACTCAAAGGTAAATGTAGCCACATGTGTGTTTGAGGAATTGTACCAGAACGTGTAAACATGATTGTCTTTAGTAATAGCAACTTGTTGGGCCTCTATCAGGCCTAGCAGCAAAAGGAGACACAGGAAGCTCATGGTTCATCAGGGGTGGCTTCCTCTGGAGCAGGTACTTTCTTACAATGTGAAGCGTGTATACAGGAACTCTTTCCGGCCAACTTTACTGAGGTAGCCGTAGTCAGTAGTACTTGGTAAGGACCATCGAATCTTGGTTCGAGAGTGTGTTTCCTGAGGAACTTCTTGACCATAACCCAGTCACCAGGAAGTAACTTGTGAATACCTGTATTCGACTCGGGATCTGGAATAGAAGAGAACACTTGGGCATGGATTTTGGTGAAGGCATGAGAGAGAGCAGTTACATAGTCTACCATAGCGTCTGACTGAATCTGAAGCTGTTGGGGGAAATAACAACCTAACCTTGGTGCTGTACTGAACAAAATCTCATAAGGGGATAGACTGAACTTCCCCCTAGGGGTGTATCGTATGCTGAATAGTGCTAGGGGAAAACTCTCGGGCCAGGGCATGTTGGGCTCCTGGGACATTTTAAGCATTCTGGCTTTCAACGTGCCATTCATGCGTTCTACCTTACCGCTACTCTGCGGGTGATAAGGTGTGTGGAAGGCAAGGGTCACCCCCAGTGCTGCCCAGACTTCCCTTGTTAACAGAGCAGTAAAGGAAGTTCCTTGGTCACTTTCAATCACTTCTGGAACTCCATATCGGCAGACAATTTCTGTAAGGAGATGCTTTGCTGTGGTCTTTGCTGTAAGGTTAGCGACTGGAAAGGCTTCTGGCCATCCTGAGAACATGTCCACTATGACTAGCACATACTCATATCGTCCACTCTTCGGCATCTGGACATGGTCAATCTGTAATCTTTGGAAGGGATAATGTGGTTTGGCCAGGTGATTAGGAGCAGCTTTGATAATCTTTCCGAGGTTACATTTGGCACAAATAATACAGGATCTGCAATAGTTCTGTGTCAGAGTAGTAATGCCAGGTGCTTCAAAATATTTATCAATTAGGGAGTTCATCAGATGTTTAGGCAAATGGGATGGTCCGTGGGCCCACTGTACAACAGCTGGGTACATGTTTCTCGGTAAACAAAACTTGAGGTTGATGGTATAAACATCATTTTGAAGGATTGCCCATTTGTCCTTCCAGCTTTGTTTTTCTTGAGGGGTTGCTGCGGCTTGCTGTTCTTTCAAGAGTTTGAGATCTGTGGGTAAGGTTTGCATAGTATAGATGGGGTGGTCTCAGTGGCCACTCTTCTGTCCACTTTCCATCCTTGCCGTGCTGCTTCCTTAGCGGCCTGATCAGCCAGGTGATTGCCCTGGGCTTCTTCTGAGTTCAACCTTCAGTGGGCTTTTACCTTCACTACGGCCACCTCTTCAGGCAGCAGCAGGGCGTCCATCAATTCTTCAATAGCTGCCCCATGTTTCACAGGAGTACGGTGGCTGTGAGGAAACCCCTGGTTTTCCACATTAGACCAAAATCATGTGCCACCCCCAGGGCATATCTTGAATCTGTATAAATCTGTACCTTCAAACAACTTACAGGCCACCGTAAGGGCTGTTAGCTTGGCCTCTTGGACTGATTTTGTCGGTGGAAGTGCAGCAGCCTGTAGTATTCGACATTCTGTAGTGACTGCGTATCCAGTGTGGTATTGTCCTTGTTCATCAGCAAATCTGGAACCATCCACAAATAGTGTACAGTCTGGATTGGGTAGGGCAGTTTCATGCACTGTTGGTAGGTGGGTAGTTTCCATCTTCATCTGTTCAAAACAATCATGAGGGGCTTCTGGATCTTGCCCCCTAGGAGGGAGATCGTCGCATATCTCTGTATGGTACCGAGGATAACTGACTGTATTGCAGTTAATAATCTTTTTAGTTACTCCCGCTAGTTCAAGTTGTTCTTGAGTTGCTGTACTTCAAGACTTGGCCATTGGGCCTAGATCTTCCCACGAGAGGTCAGGAGACTTGGTGAATGAGACATGCGGGACAGCCACCTCCCAGTGGTGGTAAAGGTGTGATATTTACATTGGAAGGTGAACCAACGAGACCATGTTGTCTCTGGAATCACATAATAAATCTGTTAGTGGGATGTGAATTTCTACTAGGTGGAACAACTCTTCTTCATAGTATGCATCAGGGCCTGGAGTGTCTTTAAACCACAGAGTGCAATGCAGCAAGTTCTCTGGTTGCACGTCATGTGTAATGTGGGAGTATGTAATTGGAACTCCATCTGGACATCTGGGTTGATGTCTAGGCTGTACCAGTAATGGGCTACTCCCCCCTTGGGAAGTGGCAGAAGAGTGGCCGGGTTCAAGGAATAACATCTTTGAAGAGTCACATTGTCGGGCAGCAGTAGAGAAGTTTGTAGACAAAGATGGCATTGGGAGGAAAGGTGTTTTGGTTGGACTTGCTGCAAGATGGCGGAAATGTAATGCGGAGCGAGAACAGTTAGAGAATGCCCAAGGACGAAGTCATTGGTCTTGTCCAATAAAGCACTAGCAGCAAACACTGCCCGCAGGCAGGAAGGGCTACCTCTGGCTACGGGGTCGAGCATGCAGGAAAAGTAGCCAATGGGTCACTGTCTTGAGCCATGGGACTGTGTAAGGACCCCTGAAGCATGGCCCATCTTTTCTGAAACGAACAGTTTAAAAGGCAATTGGTAGTTGGGTAGGCCCAAAGCGGGTGCGGAGGAAATTGCCTTTTGCAGGGCTGAGAAGCAGGCTAGTGCATGAGGTGAGAGTGAGAACGGTTCGCTCTTCAAAGCGTCATATAGAGGTTGCATAAGCTGGGAAGCTTCAGGAATCCATGATCTGCAATAGGTAATGAGGCCTAAAAAGGCATGTAGAGTCTGATGAGTAGATGGGGGTGGCAAATTCAGAATAGCAAGAATCCTGTTTCTGGTAAGATGACGGGTGCCATGGGAGAGGCAGTGTCCCAAGAAGACCACAGAGGGCCGGCACCACTGGAGTTTGGATTTAGAGACTTTACAACCTTCTTCAGCCAGAAAGCATAGAAGATCCTCGGAATCGTGCTCAGCAGTTGGAAGGTCAGCAGCGCAGAGAAGTAGGTCATCAACATACTGGAGCAAGACCACGTCTGTGTGAGCTTTTTGCCAGGGTTCCAGGACCATAGACATGGCCCTTGCAAACTGAGTAGGAGAATTCTGTGTCCCCTGAGGCATGACAGTCCATGTATACTGTTGGCAGTCATGAGTAAAAGCAAAGAGATGCTGGCAGGACGTATCCAGAGGTACGCTGAAGAAGGCATTAGCAAGAT